TCGGCTTCCTTGATGTTTCCACGGCCCCACACCATGCGTTTGTTTGGCAATGGACACATATACAAACGAATTTTAGTTTGACTGCATTTGTTTGTCTCATTCAGGCATTTGTTTTCTTGCTGAAGTTTGCTGAATAACTTAGTTTTTGTTCCTTTCCGCAACGGTTTCCTCTCGCATGCCCTGTACGCGAGGTGGCATGGCCTGATTTGACATTGCAAAACTTGAGCGAGCTTTACAATGATCCTCCTGAGCCTAACCTTCTTGATATGGCTGCATCGCTTCCACTTCTGTCTTTCTCACTGAACTCGAGCTGGGCTTACATCCCAGTATTGTGCACGTTATCAGAGAAAAGCTCTGCGAACAGCCTCATCTTTTGGAGCAATTTCTTGATTGTGCTGAACTACGTCGCCCTGGCCGCGAGTGGCTATTGCACATTTGGCACAGATGTGAGGCCAAATATCATGGACTCTTTGGGTCACATCGATGGGTATTGGAAGTCGTGGATGATTTGGGGCGCGAAGGTGGTCACTTGGCCATCTTTTTATGGCTGTGTCTTTTTTGAGGATACCATTTTGGAGTGTGTTTAAAGAGAAACCAAAAGAGAAAACAGCATTTAAGACACTCCCCCAGACCCATTCTACGTCGGATTACTGTGAGGTTTGTGCCTAAGTTGTTGGGGAAGACAGGGAACAACACCGAGCGTGCAGACCAGGGAACTGCATGGTTTTCTTCGGAAGGACGGGTTTCTCCTTGCGTGGGATTGCTGGATACTTCCCAATTGGGACAGCGCTTTCATCACCCATTGGCAAAAGGCAGGAATTCCCTGGCACCTGTGTTGCAAGCCCCACTTTTCTCCGCGGGTCAATTGCAGCTTCTTTGGTCTTCTTGTTAGGTCCTGTTTGACTCCATACGACAATTGGTGGCCACATCTAGCCACTGCGAGCCTTTTCAGTTCCAATTGGCTGATCTCAGGCGTTGTGTTTTCAACTCACACTGGCCCTGCCATTGCGCTTCTTCGTGGCTCGGAAGACCATCCAAGATGCACGTCCTTGGCTTGGAGAGTCCAGCGCCTTGGCGTCACGATTGCCAGGATGATATTGTGGGCTGACGCCGAGGCAAATGCACCTTCTCGGAGAAGTCCTCATACTCTACTCTGCGTGATGTGTTTACAATATGTTGTACCAATATCTAAACTGAACCTGGACTTGAATTGACTGTATACTGTAGCTTGATAGTCCGAAGGTCGCTCCATGTCACTCCTAGCACGACCTTGTTGGCATTCTTTTCCGTGTGGGACGACTGGGACCAGCTGTGATCGCCTGTCGCAGGAGCGAGAATGGCCTTGGCCTTCGTCTTGGTCTTCGGGGCCACTGTCACGGCCCTGCCAGACATATCCCTGGCCATGGTGCTCGGTATCGTTTCCGGTGGCTTGACGTCAATGAAGAGGAGCTCGCTTGGAAAGCGTTTTGGTCTTGCTGAACATGCTTATTCGAATGGTTGACAGGATACATGTTGACTAAATGCGTGGACCTTTCTCCACAGATCACTCTTTGCAACGATTGACCACATGATGCAAAGCGTGGAGCCAGTCAAGCGGAGCTCGCAGGATCGAACGCCTCGTCTTGGTATTCCTTGAAATGGTTGATGTTTTCACTTGTGTTCATGTTTCGCAACTGTTTGTAATCGGTTTATGTTAATCACTTTTGTTTCTTTGCTGGGTCCACCGGGCCCACTGAAACCTGGGCATCGCCTGACGATCGAGGCATTTGTGCGAGTATGATAATCTACGTATTGCCGGCCATCATCGATTTGAGGGTCCGACATCAAGGTCAGTGTCGATGTGCTCGGCTGCTTGCTTCGCTGGTGAGCTTGATTGCGGCTTGCTTTGGGTTGGCAGGATTTCCCTTTTGCAGTCCAGCAGTAGTCTCCAAAACGGCAGCATTGTCATTGCACTTTAATGCTAGCCCATCAAGGCTGAGGCACTTTTGGCGGTTTTTGCAAAAGGGTGCTTGGGACTTGAACCGCTTTGACACACCCAACATCCCACGAGATGTCCCCAAACGGCATTGCGCATGACGGCGAGGTTGGAATCTTCATTCTGGTTGGAAGCCTTTGGGCAAACTTCATGGGCGTCGCCGTTGGCGGTTAGAGGCAAGGCCGCAGAAGCGGGTGTCTGCCAATCGACATCGGTTCGAAGCGTGGAAAAGACGCCGCGCCTTCACAAGTGACAGTCAGGTTTTCTTGACCCTGCCGGCAACGGGTCCCTCAGTATGTCAGTCTTGTGGAGATCCGTACATACCACTAGAGCTGGCGAAGCCGGTGGGGGAATTATCAAAAAGCACAGTCCTGTTGCTCTTTCGTTTTTTGCTTGAGTTGTCGGAAGTTCCTTCTAAACTTCCTTTGATGAGTTCACGTTTAGATTTGTTAAGAGTGCACAAATAAATTACGTCAGAATATGGCGATTGATACTGAAACAGGCCATTTCGTGTTCGCAACTCATGTTTCCGCCGACATGTCCAATTTATAGTTTTGAATAAATTGCAAAACTCTGTGCTTTTTCCAGGAGTTTCCGCAGCAAACAGTCTCGGGAAACTACGTCAAGTTTTCCTGAGATGGAAGATGCAGTGGCCAGCCAAACAGGGGTTGTCAAGTTGTCAAGGGGACAGTTACGTCCAACGAGAGTGCTAGGACCCACAGGGCTGGCTTGGGAATCCCACGTGACGTCCATAGCCGAGTTTTGGCATATCTGGGGCATGGGGAGGAGCTGAAACGGTTTCCCTTCTGTAGATTGATTCCTTCAAAAAGCTGCGCTGTTTATCTCCTTGGACCCTGGCATTGACTTTTTAGATTTATTTTGCCAGCGTTGCACCTCACAGCCCGGTGTATTTACTGGTGCAACTTAGGATCCTGCAGGGCTGAATTCGATTTGAACAAGAGTGGAAAAGACGCCGCCGCATCTTCCAGACAATCATGTGTGGACTCGGGCAACGCCCTTAGTATCCAGTTCGACATGTGGAGAGCACACACGAGTTTGTTTTTTAGATCTGCCAAGAGTGCATAGACGAGGTAAGCACGGTGACCGAGCCATTTCCTAAACACCCTTCAACCCTTTCTGTCAGAATGCGGCGAGGCTCAACTAGGCATGAGGTGGGTTTGTGATAGCGCCCTTGCCTTTTGTGTCTGGGGGGACTCACCACTCAGGCTCGACGATTATTATGAGCTCCTGGAGCAAGAGATTGAGCACCTGAGCACCTGGAGCCACTGGTACCAGTGCTTCATGATGCTCTGAATCGGTCCTGGTGATCCGGCTGTGCCCTTGCACAGTGAATCGGGGACTAAGCGTGAGCTGCAGCCAGGTTCATCCTTTCCCCAGTTGCTCGTAAACAGGGAATAACATGCACTGCGCATGTTGCAACATGCTAGAAAATGGGGTACGTGCATGAAAATCCGCATAAGAAACGCTCAAGACTGATTCCTCTTGGCCATGTTAGTGGTTTCTTTGACTACCCATTTGTTATGGAGGTTTTCGCACGGCCTATAGGCGCCATCTTGGCGGAAGTAGTACAAGTCAACAAGTTGTGGGCGCTGCTAACTTCATTGTGGGGGAATCGCGAACATGGCAGGGCCGTGTTTCAAGCATTTTCAAGCGCGGCAAAGAGGACGTCGTGCAGACGGCTGGCAAAAAAAAAAGAAGCAAAAACGCAACGAACATTGCCGGGGTGCGACCATCTTGTTGCCAAGTACTCTCCTTATGATTGACGTGGAACCCAAAAGAGCATCGATCGGTATTGGAGAACTTTCCTTTGGACTCTCTTTTGCTGATCCACGCTACTTTACACGGGAGCCTCCTAATTCCTTTAAAACAAATGCATTTGCCAACAGAATCAGAGGCACTTCCATGAAGCTTCTTCATTCGACCTCCTCCTCCTCCTCCTTGCGCCAACAAGGGCGGCGCTGTCCAGATGGCTTGATGGGTTGCTTCTTGACAAGACCTTACGCAATCTTCTGGAAATCGATTGATGTCCCACTACCAAGTAAGTGCGGTTTCCTCCAAAAATCAGCACCATGTATATAGCGGATGAACTAGATATCAACCAGAATCTGAAACTTGTATTTACCCAAGGGGTGGGCCAAGTGAAAGGAGTCCTTTTTGCAGAGGGTCAGAGGCCAATAATTGTGGAACGTGACACGTTTGTTGTTCAATGGTTGAGGGCGTGTGCTGCTTGCTCTCGTGACTCTCCGTGAATGCTTTGTTGCAAGCAAGACTCATTATGTGGCTTTACTTGTTCTAGGGCAATTGTTCAGGAAGTTTCAATACGTCTAATGCCGTGCTTGTTCTTGGTTCTTGGCATTGTGGCAATTCCGACTCAAGCCCATTGTCTAGCAAACAATCGGTCATGTTGTCCAAATGCCATTGATTTCTGCAAGCCGTACATGTGTTTATTCCCACCTTGAGATACATTGTTGCGCGTCAGCAAGCACATGTCAGCCTTCATGTTTTAAGTCACAACTCTCTGTGTGTGTGTGTGTCGTAGACAACTTGAGCAGACCACATCGTGTCTTCGCTCGCTGCTTCAGGAGCCTCCAACCAAAACTGACCGGACATCAAAAGAATATTGGATCCATGAAAACACAGATGACCACAATATCAAGTCTGTGAGGCTCCATCAAGCGGCAAATCCGCTGGAGTTCCGTCAAATTCTTGTTGCACCCATCTCCGTTGGCATCCAGAGCGATGGCCCATACCCCAAAAAAATGGAAGGACACTCTCTTTCCAACAAAAATGCAAGTCTTCCAATTTCGGCGGGTTGGGCGAAGGTTTCTAGTTTCCCTGCACAAGGGATGTCATTTTACGGAGGTTTGGTTGGAAATCCAGGCCCTTACCCGAGAGGCCCAAGCAGCTACCCTCTGTTAAGCACCCAATGGCCCAAAGGCGGCACAACTTTCACGAATCTCGTGCGCCATCCAAACGCGAAAGAAGCCTTCGTCACTGTCGCTAGGCTGCGAAAGGCGTGCGACAGCGTGAAAGGAAGGGCCTCTACGCCACGATGGTGCGAGGGAAGGGATGGGATTCAAGCCCTTCCACCCCAACCCCCCCTCTGCCTGGTTTCCTCGACCTCTTCGGGAGAGGGGGAGTCTTATAGGGAGCCTGAGAGACGCCCAGATTGTTGTCTCGTGTTTTGCGGTCCCAAAAGGTGGTTACATGCCGGCTCATAGTCAGACCTTTGGGACAAGGTCAGTTGATTGGTGGTGCCAACCCTAAATCCCGGCAATGACCTTTTGACCAAGTCTTGGAAGCCTGGGTCCAGAAGGTGTGTCCATATTGTGAGCCATCAGTATTCTGCACCAGCATTTGGTGAGCGGATTTGCATGGCTCTTCCAGCTGATAATATGTTCATTGCCCGAGAGAATAACTTTTGACCGCCATGTTTACACGGTCCCTATTTGGAATCATGAACGCTGCAAAAAGTTCTCCAGTCAAGCATCTTGTACCTGAGCCACTTGTTGAACAGGCCCATTTATTGTAAACGCTTCGCGTTGCCCGCCTCGGCCACTCTGCTTCTGGCTGCCTTTGAGGTGCATGTCTGCGTGTTTCCACATGGCTTCAAGGGCCGGAACGAGAGCTGCAGAGAGCTACAGAATGGCAGTGAGCTTGGGCCATTTTGAGTGAGATTGGATAGGTTTCTTCAGGGGAATTTGACCGGTTTTACAGGGATTTTTGACCGGTTTCTAGGGAGGTGGACCGCCTTTGGGAGGGGGGAATTTGACCGGTTTCTAGAGGTCTGGGGATGGGAAGTTGACCGCGGTTCTAGGGGTGATTTGATCGGTTTCTTGACCGGTATTTGATAGATGACCGGTTGTAAGGGCCCCGGAGTTCGAGGCGGAAATTGCCGGTTTCTGTGGGGGGGCAAGATCCCCTTCTCGAAGGGAGCTGAGCACTTCCCGGCGTTGGGCCGCAGGGATTTTGGCTGCGCGACATGGGCGGGCGGACCAATTTTCAGCAAGGCAAGTGTTAGGAATTTGCCATGAGGGGCCCGGCGGACGAATCCAAGGTTTATATACATTTCCCGAAAAGCCAGGACTGGCATGTCGCGGCATAAAATTTGAACCCCGAGCCCAGTTTCACATGTCATGCATCCATGGATGACAGAAACGCCTGATGCAAGATTCATTCCTCATTTTCCTTTCGCTTTTCCAAAGGATGGTTTTCTGGGTTACTTCCACAGGGAAATGGAATCACAATCAGAACCCACAAAAAGGCACCAGATGGGAAGCTGAGAGCTTCCTTCCGAAGCTCAAGGCAATGGGGCAAACGGTTGAGCAGAAACTGTTTGGTTGCCAACAGAGAATTAGTTTCCCTTTGGCTTTTGGGGTGATGTTGACAGGGGGCATATGATGGGCATTCCATGGAACTGGGGGCGGCGGGCGGCCTCTGGAATTCCAGGATTCCACGTGCACTTGGGGCTTTAGTTGGCGGAGGGAAAAACAGTTTTAAATTCGACCCAATTGAAGCTTAGGGCTGGCGCCAGGTGAAGAAGGGCCCTGTCCACGCCTCGCTGAAGCTCAAAGCCGACTGCCTGCTCGATGCCACCGCGACGCCCTTGGATACGTAATTTAGTGATTCCATTCTGATAACCAAGGAAACCATCCCCCTTAGGTAAGAGGATAACAGTAGGCGGGATGGGCGGCAGGCGGCTGTTTCCAACCTGCCACTCAGATATTCTGGTGCTGAGGTGGTGCTTAGAAGTCGCAAGAGAAGCCGCAGTTGTGGTTCGTCCAATCATGCCAGCTGTTGGTTTGATTGGCTGCTTTCTCTGCTGCCATGTCTTCATTCGTGGCGGACACTGTGACTAAAGAATTCTGAACGGAATCTGAGCTATGCGCTTGCTGCCTTGCTGTGACAGACTAGGTAAGAGGATAAAAAGGGTAGGCGGGATAGGCGGCAGGCGGCTGTTTCCAACCTACCACTCAGATATTTTGGTGCTGAAGTGGTGCTTCGAAGTCGCAAGAGAAGCCGCAGTTGTGGTTCGTCCAATCATGCCAGCTGTTGGTTTGATTGGCTGCTTTCTCTGCTGCCATGTCTTGATTAGTGGCGGACACTGCGATTAAAGAATTCTGAACGGAATCTGAGCTATGCTGTGATTTGCTGTGTGTTGTGACACAGACTAGGTAAGAGGATAACAGGGTAGGCGGGATAGGCCGAAGGCGGCTGTTTCCAACCTACCACTCAGATATTCGGTGCTGAGGTGGTGCTTAGAAGTCGCAAGAGAAGCCGCAGTTGTGGTTCGTGCAATCATGCCAGCTGTTGGTTTGATTGGCTGCTTTCTCTGCTGCCATGTCTTCATTCGTGGCGGACACTGTGATTAAAGAGTTCTGAACGGAATCTGAGCTATGCGCTTGCTGCCTTGCTGTGACACAGACTAGGTAAGAGGATAAAAAGGGTAGGCGGGATAGGCGGCAGGCGGCTGTTTCCAACCTACCACTCAGATATTTTGGTGCTGAAGTGGTGCTTCGAAGTCGCAAGAGAAGCCGCAGTTGTGGTTCGTCCAATCATGCCAGCGGTTGGTTTGATTGGCTGCTTTCTCTGCTGCCATGTCTTCATGAGTGGCGGACACTGCGATGAAGGGATTCTGAACGGAGGCTGAACAATGCGTTTGCTGCCTTGCTGTGACGCAGATTAGGTAAGAGGACAACAGGGTAGGCAGGATAGGCGGCAGGCGGCTGTTTCCAACCTGCCACTCAGATATTCTGGTGCTGAAGTGGTGCTTCGAAGTCGCAAGAGAAGCCGCAGTTGTGGTTCGTCCAATCATGCCAGCTGTTGGTTTGATTGGCTGCTTTCTCTGCTGCCATGTCTTGATTAGTGGCGGACACTGCGATTAAAGAATTCTGAACGGAATCTGAGCTATGCTGTGATTTTTCTGTGTGTTGTGACACAGACTAGGTAAGAGGATAACAGGGTAGGCGGGATAGGCCGAAGGCGGCTGTTTCCAACCTACCACTCAGATATTCGGTGCTGAGGTGGTGCTTAGAAGTCGCAAGAGAAGCCGCAGTTGTGGTTCGTCCAATCATGCCAGCTGTTGGTTTGATTGGCTGCTTTCTCTGCTGCCATGTCTTCATTTGTGGCGGACACTGTGATTAAAGAATTCTGAACGGAATCTGAGCTATGCGCTTACTGCCTTGCTGTGGCGCAGATTAGGTAAGATGATAAAAAGGGTAGGCAGGATAGGCGGCAGGCGGCTGTTTCCAACCTGCCACTCAGATATTCTGGTGCTGAAGTGGTGCTTCGAAGTCGCAAGAGAAGCCGCAGTTGTGGTTCGTCCAATCATGCCAGCTGTTGGTTTGATTGGCTGCTTTCTCTGCTGCCATGTCTTCATTTGTGGCGGACACTGTGATTAAAGAATTCTGAACGGAATCTGAACTATGCGCTTACTGCCTTGCTGTGACGCAGATTAGGTAAGATGATAAAAAGGGTAGGCAGGATAGGCGGCAGGCGGCTGTTTCCAACCTGCCACTCAGATATTCTGGTGCTGAAGTGGTGCTTCGAAGTCGCAAGAGAAGCCGCAGTTGTGGTTCGTCCAATCATGCCAGCTGTTGGTTTGATTGGCTGCTTTCTCTGCTGCCATGTCTTGATTAGTGGCGGACACTGCGATTAAAGAATTCTGAACGGAATCTGAGCTATGCTGTGATTTGCTGTATGTCGTGACACAGACTAGGTAAGAGGATAAACAGGGTAGGCGGGATAGGCGGCAGGCGGCTGTTTCCAACCTACCACTCAGATATTCTGGTGCTGAGGTGGTGCTTAGAAGTCGCAAGAGAAGCCACAGTTGTGGTTCGTCCAATCATGCCAGCTGTTGGTTTGATTGGCTGCTTTCTCTGCTGCCATGTCTTCATTCGTGGCGGACACTGTGAGTAAAGAATTCTGAACGGAATCTGAGCTATGCGCTTGCTGCCTTGCTGTGACACAGACTAGGTAAGAGGATAAACAGGGTAGGCGGGAAGGCGGCAGGCGGCTGTTTCCAACCTGCCACTCAGATATTATGGTGCTGAAGTGGTGCTTTGCTGTAACACAGACTAGGTAATTAAGAAGATAACAGGGTAGGCGGGATAGGCGGCAGGCGGCTGTTTCCAACCTGCCACTCAGATATTATGTTCCTGAAGTGGTGCTTAGAAGTCGCAAGAGAAGCCGCAGTTGTGGTTCGTCCAATCATGCCAGCGGTTGGTTTGATTGGCTGCTTTCTCTGCTGCCATGGCTGCATTGGTGGCGGACAACGCGATTAAACAATTCTGAACGGAGGCGGAGCTATGCGCTTGTTGCCTTGCTGTGACACAGACTAGGTAAGAGGACAACAGGGTAGGCGGGATAGGCGAAGGCGGCTGTTTCCAACCTACCACTCAGATATTCTGGTGCTGAAGTGGTGCTTTGAAGTCGCAAGAGAAGCCGCAGTTGTGGTTCGTCCAATCATGCCAGCGGTTGGTTTGATTGGCTGCTTTCTCTGTTGCCATGTCTGCATCAGTCACAGATAGTTGATCGCAGAATTCAGAATGGAGACTGAGCAATGCGCTTGCTGCCTTGCTGTAAAAAACACGAGGTAAGAGGAGAATAGTGTAGGCGAGATGGGCCGAAGGCAGCTGTTTCCAACCTGCCACTCAGATTTTCTGGTGCTGAGGTGGTGCTTAGAAGTCGCAAGAGAAGCAGTTGTGGTTCGTCCAATCATGCCAGCGGTTGGTTTGATTGGCTGCTTACTCTGTTGCCAGGTCTGCATCAGCACAGACAGTGTGATTGCAGAATTCAGAATGGAGACTGAGCTATGCGCTTGCTGCCTTGCTGTGACGCAGACTAGGTAAGAGGAGAATAGTGCAGGCGGGATGGGCCGAAGGCAGCTGTTTCCAACCTGCCACTCAGAGTTTTGCTTTGCTGAAGTGGCGCTTAGAAGTCGCAAGACAGATTGAAGTGATTTCTTACCTGCTGAGTTTTCTTGTGGCTTAGCTGGTGCTTACGCTTTGGCCATTTTTGCCACCCATGCTTGGCACCATTGTGATGAACCGGACAGACCGGACAGGCCAGACAGGCGGCTGTTTCCAACCTGCCACTTAGAGTTTTCCTTTGCTGAAGTGGCGCTTAGAAGTCGCAAAACAGATCGAAGTGATTACTTACCTGCTGAGTTTTCTTGTAGCTTAGCTGGTGCTTACGCTTTGGCCATTTTTGCCACCCATGCTTGGCACCATTGTGATGAACCGGACAGACCGGATAGGCCAGACAGGCGGCTGTTTCCAACCTGCCACTCAGAGTTTTCCTTTGCTGAAGTGGCGCTTAGAGGTCGCAAAACTGATCGAAGTGATTACTTACCTGCTGAGTTTTCCTTGTGGCTTGGCTGGTGCTTACGCTTTGGCCATTTTTGCAACCCATGCTTGGCACCATTGTGATGAAAAGGACAGGCCGGATAGGCCAGACAGGCGGCTGTTTCCAACCTGCCACTCAGAGTTTTCCTTTGCTGAAGTGGCGCTTAGAAGTCGCAAGACAGATCGAAGTGATTACTTACCTGCTGAGTTTTCCTTGTAGCTTAGCTGGTGCTTATGCTTTGGCCATTTTTGCAACCCATGCTTGGCACCATTGTGATGAACCGGACAGGCCGGATAGGCCAGACAGGCGGCTGTTTCCAACCTGCCACTCAGAGAGTTCCTTTGCTGAAGTGGCGCTTAGAAGTCGCAAGACAGATTGAAGCGATTACTTACCTGCTGAGTTTTCCTTGTGGCTTGGCTGGTGCTTACGCTTTGGCCATTTTTGCAACCCATGCTTGGCACCATTGTGATGAACCGGACAGGCCGATTAGGCCAGACAGGCGGCTGTTTCCAACCTGCCACTCAGAGTTTTCCTTTGCTGAGGTGGCGCTTAGAAGTCGCAAGACAGATCGAAGTGATTACTTACCTGCTGAGTTTTCCTTGTGGCTTGGCTGGTGCTTACGCTTTGGCCATTTTTGCAACCCATGCTTGGCACCATTGTGATGAACCGGACAGGCCGATTAGGCCAGACAGGCGGCTGTTTCCAACCTGCCACTCAGAGTTTTCCTTTGCTGAGGTGGCGCTTAGAAGTCGCAAGACAGATCGAAGTGATTGCTTACCTGCTGAGTTTTCTTGTAGCTTAGCTGGTGCTTACGCTTTGGCCATTTTTGCCACCCATGCTTGGCACCATTGTGATGAACCGGACAGGCCAATTAGGCCAGACAGGCGGCTGTTTCCAACCTGCCACTCAGAGTTTTCCTTTGCTGAGGTGGCGCTTAGAAGTCGCAAGACAGATCGAAGTGATTACTTACCTGCTGAGTTTTCCTTGTAGCTTAGCTGGTGCTTACGCTTTGGCCATTTTTGCAACCCATGCTTGGCACCATTGTGATGAAAAGGACAGGCCGGATAGGCCAGACAGGCGGCTGTTTCCAACCTGCCACTCAGAGTTTTGCTTTGCTGAAGTGGCGCTTAGAAGTCGCAAGACAGATTGAAGTGATTACTTACCTGCTGAGTTTTCCTTGTGGCTTAGCTGGTGCTTGCGCTTTGGCCATTTTTGCAGCCCATGCCTGGCACTGCTGTGTTGATTTGAGTTTGGCTTGCCGCATGCTGCGAACGGCAGTTTTTGGGCACTGGGCACAGGTTGGGGTACCCAGCAGTACAGTGGTTGTCGCTGAAGCGGCACACTGAGGATCGCAAGACAAGCCGCCGCAGTCGTTCTAATCTTGCCTGCTGTGGGTTCTTTTTTGCGGACCCCCCCCCCACAATGATGTGGTTCCTTTTGGTTTGGTTTCAATCGCGTAAACATGACCGACCATGACCGACCCATTTTTCTCAGAAGTGCGTTCTTGATGCTGGGGCATATGCCAAGGGCCGGTGCTACTTGGATGCTTCCAACTGTTTCACGCTGCCGCATTTCTCAACAGTTCTCAACAGTACAGGCGAATTCTGCGAGAAGCAGTTGGACCCCATGTTTTCAGATATCAGATCCTTGAGCTGGTCACCGCACCGGAACATGGATGGGCCATGATGGACCTCGCGTGAACTCGAGGTTCTACGATTTCACCTCACGGTGGGTAATATCCGGTGTGGCCCGCGCGGGCCCAAAGAAAGCGTGTCCGGGGACTGAGTGCAAAGCGTCCCCTAGAACGGGCAGATGGCTTTGACTTCAGCTGAGATTCCTTTAAGGGGACCTTAGACAAAATCAGTTCAGTCTTTGGCAGGCCAAGCTTGAGGTCGTCAGAACTGTGCTATGGGGTTGGATGTTGAATCTTTGCTTTTCTGCGAGAATGCTCGCCTACTAGCCAGCAAGAAACATCAGCTTGTTTGCCGCCAGCCACCTATATATCCCTGGACTTCCTGCTATGGCTCATATGTCTACCCTGTATGTCCCTATGATGTTTGGTTGCCTTTGTGATGAGGGGTAGCAGCCGCACGTGGTTGGGCGCGGGGGGCAATAGCTTGGGGAAGAAGACTGGTCTGTGGCACCCCAAAGCCGCCAAACAACCTTTAGAAAACAAATTGCCTTTTCATAAAACCTACAATAAGTTACCCTCCCATCAAGTAGCATGGAACCTGACTGAGTCCTGGAAGACTATTTTCCGTTGAAAGGGACCTTCTGGTTGCATATGAAGAAGAGCCTCATTTTGCTTCGGACGGAGGTAGCAACGAGATCGCCAGGTTTACCTACGATTACGCAGAGTGTGCCGTGCACGGCTGCGAAGACTTCGGAATCGACTGGTTGAAGGAGGCCGGAGTTGATCCGAAGGCTTGACGGATCCGATCGGCCGTTCATTGCAAGGGTCATGAAACTCTTAAACAACCACTAGGAATACAAAGGGAACCATGACGGCCCACATTATGTGAGTTTTTGACCATGGGTATACTCTGGCTCCGAAATGTCCGCATGATTGAAACGCCAACTCGAGGGCACAATGATTTCAACCTGTGCGTCGTGAGAAATCCCAGGTACGAGCCGTAGATCCCTTAGTCCAAGCAAGGGACCCGGGACAAGGCCCCTCGCTGTGCGAAAGGGTCGATGGGGCGATGTCAAGTTGGCATCTTGAAAAGAGGGCGGCGCTCAATGTCCCACTTTTGCGGTCAAGGAAAATGGGTCATGTTTGACCCAAATGATAGCCACAAAATCTGGGTAGTTGGAGGAATGGAAAGTCCCAGCCCCATCCTGAGGTGCTGGACCTTGTACTGTTTGTGAAGGCAGTTTTAGGCGAAACGCAAATTCAGACTTGTTTGGCTAATCCCCTCAAGTGGGTTACATAGCTTAGGATTAACCATTTCATGTTGAGTCGGACTTAGTTAGCTGTGGCTCAAGAGCATGTGCCAGAATGGCACCTTGGTACATGGAACCCAAGACTAAACCTGCGTAACCCTAGCTCTTTTATTTTGAGCCACACCCGGTTGTGTCTCTAATCATACACCCGAACATCAGGCCAAGAAGGGATTGCCAAGCCAGCCACTCAACGAGTACCTTTATTGCGAGGGTTTGAACATGTGTGTCGACGTCTCGCTTCTCTTTGTATGTCCCCCTTGCTTTGCTAGCTGCCCGCGGAATAATGATATATCAGCATCGTAATTTGTTTGGCAGATCGACGATGTCGAGTCCCTCCGCGTGGGAGTGGAAATCCTGGATGTGGTGGACAGCGCGGAATGCTGCGCACTCAGAGCCTCACAGAGAGCAGAGCCTCGCTTGAATGGCTGACCGAATCGCGCGACCTGGAAACACAAGGCTTTTGCATTTACAGATTACGACAGGGACCTGTTGCTCAGGGAAGAGCAAGCTAGATTTGAAGGGGCATCACTCAAATTCCCCGAATGCTGCTAGACTGTGGGACCCGGTAAGGCAGGCAGCTCATGTGCGCTTTAAGGGCCAGTGGACAGTCTCAAGAATTGGTCCTGATCGAGCGAGTCTATGCGCTTGTCTAGTGTGTCTGGCGCGGGGGTGTGTGTTGTAAGACTATTGACCTCTGGGTTCCAACACTTCCCACGCGCCCTTCCCCTGTTCGCCCCAAGTATTGCCTTGTTGGGGGAAACGGCAAGAGGGGAAGTGGGGGGATGGGGTGTCACCGATTTCCATCCGTTGAGGTCCACAAGAGCTGCTGCTGTTGTGCAATGGCTCACACAGGACCGACCGAATTTGACACCAAGAAATGTCCTCGATCCCCTTGCCTTCTGTTGGTGGGAGGGAGGGTAGGTGTCCTTTGGTTTGGCTTCAAGGTGTCTTTTGTGTTTCTCCTCAAACCTCCCCACATTGCCATGAAAGCAGACCTTGGCTTCTAGTTTTGTCGGAAGCGCAGCCACTCAAATTCACTGAGGGGATGACAGTATGTGATGTACCCTCAGCAAATCTCCACTCGACACCGGGGGGGTGGAAATCACCTTTCAACCCATTGGGCCAGGAGTGTTCCAAACATCCCCAAACTGCCCCGAGAGAATTACCAATCGCACCACTCAAGCAGGATGAAATACATTTTCCAGAGGAAGCCCAGGGCCAGTTCAGGAGTTAGGGCGTTTGTCCCATGTTGTTTAAGCAAAAAAAAGAAAGGCGATGCTGCCACCTTCCAACCTCGTGAGAAACAAATGCCAGGCCCAGTAAATCATCCGGGGTCCCGTCAAGGGTCCCGGCCTCGCAGGAAAGGCGAAGGGAATTTGAACCTCGATGATAGCTTTGGGAGTTATTCATCAGGGGCTGCGATTAGCATAAAAGTATGGGTTGTTTCAAATCAATCCAAATACATCCTGGATGGTATCTCCTGGTTTCTCTTTTGGTGTCACGGGGATTAGTACGAAATTGGGATCCCCCGACTGGACGAAAAGTTGCGATCCGGCGATGGAATCGTCGGTTCTTAGATCAAACTCAATGGAAAGCTCCAGATAGAGGCCGTCCAAGCCATCAAAGTGATCCAGGATCCTCTAGGCCAATGCAAGCCCCAATCTCTTTGTGGGTTTGTCCCAGAAAAGGGGACCCCCGAGAACGGCTGGTTCCCTGTTGGTTGTCCTTTCAAACCCCTATGTTCTCGATTCAACCGCAGCAGAAAACGCACAATTGTTGAGGATGTGCAGAGACTCGGAGAGGGGCGCTCAGTGGGCAGGAAGTGCGGAATTTGCTTGAAGGAAGCAAGGGACAGCATCTGATTGCACGGTGTGCGAAAAGTAGTTGGGCCCCTTCGTTCACGGATGCCTTCAGGCTGGTTCCACATTGTCAGGAGCAAGGGCCAGATTCGCCATCACCTGGTAAAGAGCATAACATTGTGCAAAGTCACCAAGGTCACCCACATTCCAAGAGCATTGGGTGCTCAAGGAAGCTAAGGAACCTGTGGGGGCCTTGCTTGGGCACTGAAGATTGACCGCTTAACTGGTAGCTAGTCGTTGTCAACACGACTTGGAAGCAAGTGGATTCAGAATGCCCATGTTGGTGCATGGGAGTGTGGCAACAGGAGTCGCCCTTTGTTGGTCTCGCTATGGTAAATTGCCAAATGCCCTAATGCTTCCATTATATATATATACATGCATGTCTTGGCGAGACGGAGGGAGAGATAGAGAAATGTAGCGAGAGAGAGGGAGACAGGACTAGTTCCATTCCTTTCTTGAAGTTGGTTTCCGATGGCTTCCCTTACGCCGACCTGCTGTGATGGAAACCGGCATCATGGCATCGTCCGCTTGCCCGGAAGCATCTCTCGATGGTATCAAAGTCCGCTCAGCAGAGATGCTCGAGGATATAGTGAAATTCCTGCCTAACCGCAAGGATAAACTAGGTCTCCCAGTGGTGCCCTCTTAGCATTTCTTGGGGGAGGGTTCCCCTACTAAAATAGACTACAGAAAGAAGGTACCCTTATTCCAACCTCTCTACTGGAGGACCTAGTAAAGGAAGTGGTTTGAGGTTTCCCCTGCACCAATTCTCATTCTTCTGCACATCCCGGAAGTGCAAACAACGCCCATAAACAGGGCTGTGGGGAATGACCACTTCTGTGATACAACAGAAAGGGCTTCCCAAAGACTATGCTTTTCACACAAAGGGGGATTCCCTTGTATCACAGAAGTGGGGAAAGACCCCTTGATCCCACAACCCTGCCAAAGGATTCCCCGAAAGGTGCGGTTCACGAGTGGGCTCCCCCTCCTCACATTGACGTTTGTGGAGTGGGGGGGGGGGGGGCTTCTGGGGGGAAACCACACACGACATGCTCCAACCAAGGCTCGCTCCAAAACGAGATCGGTCCGCGAGGGGAAACCAAATGAGTTCCTTGCATCTTGTCCAAGGGCTTCTGACCTGAGGCAAGGCCTACGCGAGAAAGGCCCCGGACACGGCTGCCAAAGCTGTGGGTTGGTTACTTCAGCTGCCAGGCTAGGGGGCCCTTTGAATGGGGGAGTTCGCGCAGTTGCTTCCATTCTTTGGTTTTGACCCCCTCTATGAAAGGGGCACCCCTTAAAAGAGGAGTCTACTTTGAGGTTCCTCGATTCAAAGGGCCCTAAAATGCAAGGCCTCCGAGTTCCCCCCCCCCCAGGCAGATGACCAGGTGCATGCCGCGATTTCTGCATGCAAACAGCACGCCCTGGTGCCCTCGCTTCAGTTCCTGAGCTTGCTTTTTGGGTCTGAGACGGTCTGAGTGTCAAACAAACTTGGATGTGTTTCGCCGATCCACTCGAGAAGAGAGTTTGCCTACATTGAACATGCTGTTTGCCAAATCCTGCCGCCCAGCCAACGAGAGTGCTCAGTTTCAGAGCTGCTTGACCGGCTCGAGCTTCGGAACGCCTTCAAAGTGGACATCAGTCCCCGATGTTTTGCAGAATGGCGGACCTCCTGTTAGTTTTAAAGGTGAACCAAAAGGAATCCACCCATTTGTAGGGGCCCTTATTTTGAGGAACAGCCATTGGACTTCACTAACCCCCAAGAATTGATGTGACCCAAGAATCCCCGAAGCATTGCATACTCCGTTGCTGAGTGTGTGTTCTTTTTTGGGCTTTATTCAGAGTCAAACGAATGGCAAATCAGCCGTTTTGGGGCTTCCCGAATTTCCAGCCAAGTGCCTGCGAGTTGGAAGCGATGGAAAGCGATGGACTACTGCAAGGACTCCGCAATTGCGGGAGCAGTAAGGCATTTCAGTTGTTCCTCTTTTGGAGTGGGTTTCCCTCCAAAATGGGTGTGAGTTTCCGTGGGGGACCCTGTGCTGGACATACATCATATAGGTTGGTAAACCACTTTTGAAGCAATTCTCTAAAATATTTCTCGTAGCAGAATCAACTGCCCCAAAACTGGTGTCCTTTGTTCCTCCTGAAAATCTGGAGGTCTGGCTCCCACATCCCCCAACTCCCCCAACTCCCCGCTTTCCTCAAAGTAAGGCCTTAAGGCCTTGATTTTGAAGGAGAACAGGGGTCCAGGCAGACCATCACCCGAGACACAAGCTGAAAGATCTAGGGCTACCTCCCCTTTCTTCCAGAGAGCCTTCTTTCCGGAGTCCATTGAACTGCCCAGTAGAAGGGCTGCTGTTTGAAAAGAACCTTGCACAGAACAGACGAGGTTTTCATAGCCCCTAGAAAGTCTAGGGGGTATGATTCAAAGTGGATCAACTGTTCAAGGGGCTTTCAGGCATGGGTTTTGGAGGTATGGATGGTTATATCATACCAATACGAGCTTGTAAGGCAGTACCACTTCTTTACGTGGTACCTGACACCCCTTCAAATGCGGCAACCCAACAGTCATATCAGGGAACCAAACAGCGGCGGGTTTAAGCCAAGACAGGAGATCGGAACTGTGCTGCGGCAGAGCAGTGCATTGGCGCCAGCCACTTGCCCGCAAGTTGCGGAGCCACCCAAATAATTGGTGCCTTTTGGTGTTCCTTTTCCAAACTTGTCGAAGAGGTCCGGGGTGCCTGCCCCGATGAATTTGCAGTGGGACAAGCCAGACTGTTGACGATTTATGCTGCCCCCCGAGCTCTTGAGTGTGACAGCAGAACCGTATGCTTTTCGAGCGGGAGCATGGTGCAAAAATGACCCTGTCGGTGAAGCCAAAGCAGGCGTTTCCATCTCCATGATAGTGCCGAAACCTTCCTTGGCCCCTCACAAAGTAGCAACTCGAAGCCCAGTTTTACCACGAAACAACCAGCGAGTTGTTCATGTGCCATCCTTGAAAAGCTATTCCGGGGTACCACGTCACCCCTTGCAATATTGGTCTGGAATGATTTATTTGGTTGCCAAAACCAATCCGAGGCCGAACCATGGCGCGCACTCCTCCTCGGCTGCGAGCCAGATGGCGCGAATGGGGGTCTACTGAGGTACACCGCTTGACATGGCACGAGGTTTGCAAATGGGCCAGAACTACTTTCTGCGGCAGCCAGTGATAGATACTGGTAGATAGTGATAGCTAGTGGTAGGTAGTGGTAGGAAATCACAAGAACCATCATGTGGAGGTGATGCGACTTCTGTTGCTCCCTTGCTGGGCCGATTCAAGGTTTTTGCTCATGGCTCCAGGAAACTTAGGTGTTTGCGTTTCACACTTCGAAATAGAACCAAGCTGAACAAATCAAGGCCAGCAGCCACATCCACTTTCTAACTTCCCTGCAACACATGGAAGCTGGCAGAAGCTTCCATGTGCGGGCTATTCCAGGGGTTCCCCCCCAAAAAAGCAAAACATTTGAAATGCAGCTGTTTAACGAAGGAGACCCACACCAAAAAGAAACCGGGGTTCTTTCTATTGTGGAGCACTGGACCCCACCTGACTTCACTCAGTTGTTTGCTCCTTTGCCCTTTTGGGGGGGGTCCTTCATTTTACCCAAGCGGCGAAGAGCTATAACTTGGCTGGGACTTTTCCCAGCCAGAAAGAATTCAAGGACAATTTCACATAGGGACCTGTTCAAAGAGGGTTGGTGCCTTTTGACTAGTTCCTCCAGGTTTTTTCCCAGAACATTTACACGTGTGGGTTGATCAATATTCCTGGCCCGAAAATGACCTTGGCTAGCTTTTCCCGTTTAGTGGTGAAGACCTTTCGATCAACCCCCGCGTCCACCAAACGGCCCTTTCCCTCGTTTGTCGCAGTGGGCGCGGCCGGGGCCTGGCTGTCGGAAGCCCTCGATGCGAAGCTGGAAGCCGCGAGGCCTGTGGTGGGGTCCTTTTAAAGGAAAATCCAACGCGGACCGGAGGGTAGATGATACAGTTGATTTTCCCCTAACACAAAGTCTAGGGGACAGTGCTTTGCCCATGCCCTCTACTGGGAACAAGTAACTTTGGCTGTTCATAATTAGTTCTGCGCAAATGATGATGAGCCCAGCTGGGGAATTCCTTTATTTCCAGTGTTTGAGCTACAACAAGGTAACAGGATGTTTGAGCAAAAGGACGAGAGGGTATGAACATGAATAAGATAGTAGCAAGCATATTCAACGTTTAAGATGTAATTGTTGAATGGATGATGAATGCTGCATGCCTGTCAACCATACTGTCGACATGGGTGGATTAAACCTTTCAAGTTTATAGGGGGTGTTTCCCATAATGATCCTGTTGATCTGCCAGAGGTTGTTTGGGTGTTGAAGGAAGACGCTAGTTTTAAGGGAAGCATCAGGGGAATCTCGTTCTTTGCTTGGGACACACACCACACATCTATGCAGCAGGAGGCTGCCTGCCGAGCTGGTCATCGATGGAGCAGTGGCTCGAGTTTTGCAATCAGGACGGTTCGCCAGGTCTTTCGTGCCCGAGTGCCACGGGTCAAACAAGGTTAAGTTGTTCAAGGCCGACTGTTGGACTTTTGGTTGTCCGATGTTGCTCCTTATTTGGCTATTGCACCAAAGGTTTACATAACCTTTAGTTCAAGGTCTTTTATGCAACTAAGAAAGTCCCAATGTCGACGCGTTATCGTGGGTTCTGAGAGTTCTGAGAGAGCAAGCTCCAAAAATTCAGCTGCAAACCGCAGTCGAAATTTAACAAGCAAAGAAGGCTCACATGGGCCGTGGACTTGGGGTTTACAGGGTGGTCATCCACCCGGTGGCCATGTAGTTGTTCGACCTCGGCAGCACAGAAGTCCTGCACAAGTCACGTCGGACAGGGGTACACATGGAGGTGGATCAGCCGAGGCGGGACACCCAGGTGGTCTCGCACAGCGAGAACATGGGCGACCATGAATCAAGATGACGGACCAGCACACGGTCTATCAAAAAGCTGAGTTTTGCGCTGGACAAGCCTTTGGGCTGCAGACATCGGCCAGATCCACTCCGCGCAATGAGTGCGAAAAGACTCGCCTGGGCCTCGGGACGACAGAGATCTCCTAGAACAAAAGTCTCAGAGCTAAGCAGGGCCAAAAATGGCGACAGCTGCTTGGTTCCACTCGTGCTGCGCTACCGCTATCCAAGCAGCTGCGGGGGCATTGCGTGGTCGACGTTTGCGTAGTTTCGGCAATGGTGCGGGACGTCATCGTCTTTGGCATCACCAAGATTTTGTCAGCGCTAGGTCTGCGCCGCGACCTTTTTGGATGGCGCAACAGCGAGGTTTGTTGGCTGTTGGATGCTAGCTTGGATGGTATAGCGACGTAGCGCAGAGGGGATTCGTTCACACTCAGCTCTTCGCAGCGTGGACGTGCTGTTTTGGCCGGCGCCCATCGGGGTCATCCGGATGGTCCTTGTATTCAGGTATGAAGGGGAAGACTCTTTGTCCTACGTAGTGTTTCCCTCCACGAAGGCTTCGCGATGGAGGTTGCGAAAGTTGTTTCTTCTCGAAAGTTTTGTGCAAGGGTGGTTTGCTAAAAGGAAGATGGAATGATGAACCATGTGTATTTGACTGCAGTGCGCGCAGAAAGCAACTCCCGAGCTGGGGCTGCACTTCGCGCACTACTCTCGTACTTAAAAAGTTGCGACCTTCGAGCCGGGACTGCGAAATTGCAATTCGCGTGCTTCTTTGTCAAAACCCTGCGAAAAGCTCTGCGATGGAGGTCGTGAAGGTTTTATTCCACGAAGACGGCGTTCCCGGCCGGGGACAAGGAGTTGCAGACAGCGGACACAACACATATCTACACACACATTTGGAACTGTACTGTGCATACATAGTCTTTCAGGGGATGGCCAACAACTGGGGAAATGCATTTGCAACGCCAGGAACCCATAATTGGCTCTGAATTGCACATGGCGCCCTGGTGCTTTGTTGAAACCCCAGAGGCTGCCCCTTCCAGACCTGTGTCCGGTTGAGACTGCCACACGCCCAACTTGTTCCAAGAAAGGTGGCACAAAGGACAAGCCAATCAACGCCTGGGAAAGGCTGTTGGGGGACAGTCCCCACCGGAACTAGGTGTGGTTCTTTGCCATGTTGATTGTGGACCGAGTGTCTTGGATAGATTCCTTTACTACCCGGCTTTGATTCCGGGCCAGTTTCTTGCAAACTCCCAGTGTCCAGGTTGCAAGTAGGATTCCTATGCGCGACTAGGCGAACGAAAGCGCAACCTCCCAAAGGTTTGTGATCGAATTTTAAGGGGGTCCTTCTTTCAGGTTCAATCAACATTTACCCAGATGGTCATTTCTGGCTCAGCCCTAGCCTGACAGGGCGCTGAACAGCATATACTGTTTAAGAAAATCGAGAAGGAATGGCTATGGAGCCCCCAATACGTAGCTAAGCTGCAGAGTAGGTGAATGATCCAATTCGATGTTGGAAGTCTCCTGGCTGAAGATCCACGAGTTGTGTGTGTGTGTGTGGTTTCGTGAGGACCGCAAGAGGAGAGGCACCTCGGCTGGCACGGCAGCCGTGTCTTTTTGGTGGGGCTTCATGCTTGCCCCCCATTTCCGAATTTCCAGCTTGTTTGCAGGCAAGTGGGTTCCTCATCCTGCAACCTGCCCAACTTTTTGGGGCAGGATCCAGGTCTGACATGAACATCTCGGGGTGGGGGAGGGACATGGCCCTGACCTCATGATGCCAAGGCATACTAAGGCCTTATCCTGGGCTGCCGGGATTCCATTTCCCCAAGGTAACCCCAAAGGAACCCCAGATAAAAGCCAAACAGAACATTTTGCTGGTTACCTGCGTGTGGCTTGCCTGGGATCTGGGCTTGTGGCACAGACCCCGCGGGTCAGCTGCCGGCAGCTAGAGGTCGGACTTCGATTGCGTTCTCAACTTTGAGCTGCTGGACACGCTCAGTGTCAAGGAGCGATGCCACCTTCCATGGGGGGGGGGGGAGTTGTTTTTTTGAATCAAGGGTCCCCCTTTGTTTTGGGGTGCGTTGAGGGGAAAGTGAAAGGACACCGCCCCATTTCAGGTGGTTCTCCGTTTTGGCAAAGGGGTGTCCCTCCCTTTCGAATTCCCTCAAAGGAACATGGCGAAGCCTGAGAATCCGCAGGCTAAAAGTTCGCAGGCCCCGAATCACCGAATGATTCGGAAGTAGCATTAGAAGTGGTGCTTGGAAGAGGATTGCTCAAAACCTCACAGCAAACAACCTTTGTTATGTCTTTGGTGTGGCATCGCCTCAAAAGGACCTTGGAAAGAAATGGCTTGTCCATTCCTATTAGAGGGTGATCGACCTCTCAGGAGACTCTCGCTCGCTCGCTTTAGCTGGGAGTGACCCACTTGACCCACCAGCAGGATGCTGCTTGAAGCCTTGGGCGAACGCCACAAAACCAATCCGCGGCCAAGCAGAGCTAAAGGCGCCCGGCCCCAACAAGGCCCCAATGTCGTGGTGTCCAACTGGAAGTGGGCAGGCGTTCTGAGGCAGGGTTCCATTTTTGGACTACCCCAATGTTTGAGGAAAAGAGGCATTTCTGGGTTTAAGCCCACCTTGCGTAGTCAAACAATGGAGCCTTGTTCTGAGAGCTTCTCAAATATTATTACTTTCGAAGGTGGGATATCCCCAAAAAGCCAGAACAAACAGGGGAACATGTCAGGAGCCACGATCAAAATCGAGTTGGGTAGATGAGGGTCAGGGTCTTCCGCCAGCGACGAGGACTTCCTTCCTTTCTGCACTGCCACTCTGGGTGCGCTGCGCCCGGGTGGCTTAGCCCTGCTGCTCGGCTCTTTCCGGTAAAAGCGGAGTTGGAGTTCAGGAAACACGGGACCTGAAAAGCGGAGTCGGGTGCTCTTTGACTTTGAGTACTTTTCTGACAACCCCGAAATTCAAAACACGTGCCACGCGTGGATTTCTGGAATGTATTGAATCAATGGCACCTCGATTCGTTGAGAGGGGTTCCTGGCAGCCGCTTTTTGAAGTGCACCGGAGACAAGAGAGAGTAGAGCCACACGTTCTAGTGGGTACATGAAGGGACCTTGGATCTCCTTCATTTGGTGCATGAACTTTGGGAGGGGGGGTTTGCAGGACAAGCTGATGTGCTGTCAGATATGCTTCAATCAGGGCTTGGGCCAAGACCCGCCCTGCCCGATCCCAAGACCTATATGCACAACGGGCTCTGCAGATGGATTCTCTCATTCTGTGCCTTGTAGACAAAGCGTTAAGCAACCCTGAGCCGCATGAAAAACCGAAGTGTTGTTTGCTGTTGCAAATGCTATTTGCACTTAAGCTACCTGTGAAGCTAGGCCCCTCCATTGTGCTAGGGATCCAAAAGCTATGCTGGTGTTGGGTCCCTTAAATAGACGTCCAGGCAGTTGTAAGGCTTGTACCTATGAGGATGGTGTATGTTCTTTCAGTGTACCATTTCACCATGGCTTAAAGAACCCACATGTAAAGGATCATGTCTTGGGGCCCCCTATGTTGACGAAATGCTCATAAGTGACATCCTCAGCAACTCCCTCACTTTGAAGTTAAAGATAGTGCAATTTCGGCAGAGTCATATCATCTTAGTAGTTTTCCAACCAATGGTCACCCCCATGACGACCCTTTGATCAACCCCCATGTCAGGTTCACCCTGGCTGTCCACAAACGCTTTCCAACATGAAGTCCAAGGTTCGTGTCGGAGGAATCTGAGGCGGGTCAACGCCTGGTATGTTATATCTTTGCCCAAGGGTGGCTCATCCTTTTTTGGTTGGTTGGTACCCCTTGTTTTGGGTCCCTAGAAACTTGAAACAGAATTACCAAAATGACGATACAAAGATTTAAGCCATAGGTGGCGGGTGAACAGTAAAGGTTGGAGGAGCCGTCAATTGAGCCTTTTCAAATAGGACCAGGAGCTCGTTTTGTTTTGTCAATCTTTGGCCCTCCCTTTTTGCCGTTTTTAAAGAGAACCACACAGAAATCCGTCCAGACAGGGGCTCCATTGCTGGAGATGCGAGGGTTTTCGGTTCACATAGAGAGGCTGAACACCCGCAGCTTCTTGCTGAATTGATCATGAAAGCTATTGTTTAATCATAGCGTGGCTTTCGCAACAGTTTCATAATAATCCCTTCATTTGTGATTTCCTTTCTCAAATGAACTAAAATAGCTTGCACTCAGGACACAGGGAACTCTGACAAAGTCGCAGAGATGAGCCACACCGTGGGTAAATGAAGGTTTGGGCCAGTCCCCTTTGATGTCTTTGCAGACAACCGCCCTTGTTTGGGACCTTTGCGGGTTCTGGAGAGACCGTCAACGCCAGCTGTCGACAAGTGCGCGAAATCAGAGACCCCCGACCCCCGTGGCTTGTTTCCTTGCCACGGCCTTCCCGACTCCTGAGACTTGCCCAAATCCAGTTCCTCAGTTCCGTGGCCCCGACATCAAACCAATGCAACAAACACGGGTTGACAGCCCGGCCTTCCTTTGGGATCCCTCTGTTTCCACCGTGTTACTCAACATCATCCCTTCAAGGACTATTCCCTCCAAATGTATCTGCTAATTGAATTCTCCGCCCCCCCCCGCCCCAAACAAAAACATAGTCTCAAGTTTCTGCAAACCACAAAAGCAGCCAAACGGGAAATCAACCAACAACAGACCAACAACCAACAAATCACCCACAAATGACCCACCACCTACTAGCAAACCACCCAACAAACCAGCCACAACAACCCCCAACATGAACCACACCGGAAGGTCCATCAGAACCCCCCCCCCCACCGCATCCTTGGCCTCCGCTCCTTGGCGCCGCGCCCCTCGCCAGGCCTTCGGCACCTTGAAGCGCGCCATGCGCCAGCTGCGGCCTCTGGCCACGGAGCGCCTCGTGGCGCGGAGTCTCAACGAGCGCCTCACGCCCCGCGGCCTCACGGGGGGGGGGGGAAGGGTAGGGTGGGGGGTTGGTGTTGCAAATATATATATATATATAATATAAATAAATATATGCATTTGATAGCAAGTCGCGGTGATTTTCCTTACTAGGACTGGACACGTGGGGTTTGGTAGACATACTTCAATTCCAATCTTCAACTTTTATACTGGAAAACATACGTATATATATATATGTACATATATATATATATATATTTATATATGTACATACATTGTTTATTGGGTGGGTGGGTGGAGGTTGGGGAGAAGTTGGTATCTTATTAGGGTGGTTCTCAAAAAAAACGGAACGTAGGGCGAGGGATCCCAGAGGTCACCCTTTCGGGTCGTTTGTCCGTTCCCGCTATGGCAAGCGATTCCGCACTGATTCGGGGCTAAACTGTACTTGAGATCAAATTAGGGATTGGCAAAATTTGCAGATTTTTGTGAGGAGCCCTTTGAACAACAAAGGGACACGGGTGTGACTGCACTGGGGCTGTCCGATCTCCTTTTAGAAGCCTGACATGGCAACTGTTCCCTTTGTGCTCAACAAACACTCCAATAGGCAGTCCTTTTTTCAAAAAGCAAAAAGACGAAAACAAGCAAGCAAGCAAGCAAGCAAGCAAGCAGGCAGGCAGGCAGGCAGGCAGGCAGGCAGGCAGGCAAGCAAGCAAGCAGCAAGCAAGCAGGCAGGCAGGCAGGCAGGCAGGCAGCAAGCAAGCAAGCAGCAAGGCAGGCAGGCAGGCAGGCAGGCAGCAGGCAGCAAGCAAGCAAGCAAGCAAGCAAGCAAGCAAGCAGGCAGGCAGGCAGGCAGGCAGGCAGGCAAGCAAGCAAGCAAGCAAGCAAGCAAGCAGGCAGGCAGGCAGGCAGGCAGGCAGGCAGGCAAGCAAGCAAGCAAGCAAGCAAGCACACACACACATGTATATATATATATATATTTCGGGTGTGTCTCGTCATGTCTCTTCAGCGGACCCCCTTTCCTTGATCTTTCAACCATGGCCCACCCTGCCTTTTTGGTCTTTTGCTTTACCGCTTGCTTTTGGCGACCCCTTGCCTTTTGGTTGTTTCCTTTATATCAGTGTTTTTCAAACTGGACTTCGGTAGTGAAAGGGAAACCAACCATTGTAGGGGACCACTACTTTGGGAAACCCCTATCTAGGCTATCCTTTTGCAAGCGTTTGCTTTTTGCTTGGTTTCCTTTTGTGCCTCGCGGTTTTTGCACTCGACTGGGGCACGCATGGGCGCGCCCTTGGTCTTCAATGAAAGCCTCCGGAAGCTTACCGTGAGACTCTTCTTTGCGGAGTCAATTCCAGGGTGTCCTGTTCCTTTTTTGCTGGACCCCGCAGTTTCTAGAAACAATTGGGATGTGACCCAACTACCAGGGCACTGTTCCTCTGTCTATTTGTGGAGGTTGTAATACTGGTTGCATGTAAGCTACAGGCAAAACAGAAATCAACCTCGAGATTCGGTCCACTTGCAGTGAGTTCACAAGTTAGCATCTTTCCAGGTCCTTTCAAGGTGAATGGAAGCATGAGGCTCAGTCTGCTGATTTCAGGGGCTGTATAAATGTCATCATATCATTTATACATCATACATTCACAAGCCACACACTCATACATGCATATGTTCATACATTCACACATTCATACATGTTTACATTCATGCATTTGTGCACGCATGCTTTCACATTAACATTCTTATTCACACAACTATACGGGCTTGAATGTATTCATTTCACATGTGCATTCTTAGATATATGTATACATACATACAATGACACAGAACGCGCATACACATTCAGACACATAAACGCAAGCACACAATTGGTTGTTTGCGCATTTGAACCCCTACCTCTTGTTGAGGGTTGATGCAAAATCTGTTCAACCGCCAATCCAACTCACAAATTCGGTGTATCAATAGGGAAATCCTTGACTTTTGGCGAGGAGCGCAAGGCGAAAAAAGGAAACCTAGTCGAACATCTGGGCTTGCCATTAGGGAGAAGCTGACATGTTTCAGGCGACCCTACACGGGCTGGAACAAGCGGGTTCCCATGCTTTCACCAAAGTACAATCATGTTTGTAGCATCCAAAAGGAACCCATCTGTTAGAACCCATAAAGGGTCATCCAAATGTCTCTCCTCCTCAAGGCTCCACATCTACAGGAAGGCAGAGGAGACGGCCCCGGAGGCAGAAGCGGTGCCGGCGAAAGCGGCGAAAGCGGAGACGGCCAGCGAACGACCGGCAGGGTGGGGTCAATGGCAGAAGGCCGGGAGGTGTTCCACCGCAAAATGAGTCACACTCATCATCCGGGCAAGGGGGGGCCTCAGCGGCCTGTCGATTGTTACTTGATCGGGTAGACCCAATTAGTTACTCAAATGCAATTGGGGGAGGGGAGTGTTTTTTTTCATTGGCGGGGAAGACTTGATAAAAGGAGTTTGGGGACCCTGCCCGTAAGCATGGCCCGAAGGTTCCTCTAGCGGAATCCGTTTGGTTTGGCTCAAACAGCCATCCCGAGCGGTTTGCCTTTGAATGGGGGCCCATGGAATAATGCTTTCAACACCCTATTGATCGCAGCTTTTTTGCCCGTGATACCCTGGGCCAAACTGCCATTTCGGGGTAAGTACGCTGTTGGTTGGAACCTACTGAACCTGCCCCCAGCGACTCTGGGAGAAATCCTTTGACCCCAATCCTAAAGGGGTAGTCGAATTTGGCTCGACTTCCCCCAGGGCGAAGCATCGCCTTGGGACCCGGGAAGTGAGTCACCCACTGCCATTGAACCCCAATAACCACTGTAGAACATAGTAGGTAGGCAGCTTTACCTACAAATACAGGCAGATGGAACAAGTAGGTAGCCAGCTATTTCCTTTCTTCAAGGCTTTCGTTACCTGTGCAAGCAAATGGGATCTTTGGGTCATAGCATGGATAGGCAAATCCTGCACCAGTTGGGATGTTCGAAACCTCTCATCCCAACTGTTTAGTTTTGTGGATTTTGTCCAACAATAACTATATTCTCAACTTGGGCCTGTTGACCTGTTCGGCCGCTGCGTTGTGTGGTTTGTGATGTACAGGAGGATGGAGAATTAGTTATGCCCCACACTACACCAATACCATCTATTCCCCTTTTCTCTTACACACACACACATGCCACCTACTCTGGCTAAACGAAATCCTGCAACCTGAGAATCTTTGGGTTTCTGATGATTCCGTTGTAAATACCAAAAAACAAAAGCTTCCCATAGTTTCTTGGCGCGAAAAATGGCTTTCGCCACCATCCACCAGGGTGATGCTTCATTCCTTGGCGCGTCGCAGGCCTGGGTGCAGCCCGCGCGGCCCGTGGTGGACCTCGCCAAGATGCTCCGAGGCGATGCTCCCGAGGCGCTGCCGGAGGCAGAGGAGGCGGAAGTGGAGGCGGAGGAGTGGAGCCTTGGCTCGGGGGAGGCGAAATGGGCGGCCGGGCTGACGAAGAAGAGAAGCTGCAGTTCTCCTCGCGGCCACGCGGAAAAAGAAAAGAAAGGAAGGTTTGTTTGGTTTGAACTCTGACGCCTGCAAAAGGAGGAGCTGCGGGAGCAGAGACGAGAGATGAAGAGAGTGACAATCTCCACGCCTCGCCTTTTATCTACAGCATATAGGATTGGAGGCGTGGGAAGTGTTCAGTCAGCCAGCGTGCGGGCTGCGGGAGAGATAGGACGCAGTGGGCTGCCACTCGCTTTCCCATCCCTTCCCTGGTTCATTATATCTCTTTCCTCATTGCAGTTGCACCAGCCGAAGGCGAGGGTAAGATGGAAAGATAAAGAGAGCCCATGCTTATCTATTAGCTATCAATAGGTGAGATCTTCGTCCCATTTGCAGCTGGGAAAAGCGAGTGAAATGATGAAATGAGAGCTATCTCCTTCTTTGTTTTGTCACGGGAATTCCACATAAACAAAAGGGGAAGAGAAGGAACCGCCCCATTTTATTCTTGTTCATCTTGTGTTTATAGGTGATGCGGGATAGTGAATCTCTGTCCCTTGACAGGAAGAAGAGCCACGCTTGGTTTGCCGCTGATATTGACCTCAAGGACATACAAGACAGCATAGCTTATGTCCTGCATGTCCTTGAGGTCAATATCAAGAATGGAGGCATGCCAACCCTTTATCATCTTTCCTCTCTCTCCTCATCCATGCTCATCCCGTTCCTTTCTCTAGAGCATGGCGAGTGAGAGAGATAGAGAAAGAGAGAGAGAGACATGCCTTCCAACCACAACCAATCCGCAGAGGAAGGGATGGGGTGAAAAATGGCATAAAGGGATCAAAGAAGCTAGCCTTTTCCCCTTCTCTAGACCAGCTTGTGAAAACCGTGAGCGAAGGAACGATCATCACCTCCTTTACACACCGAACCCTCATCTCTGTGCCAGACAGTGTAATAAAGACTGGGATGTCTCAGAATATGTGTGTTATATCCTGTAGTGGTCCCTCGACATTGTTTCTTCTAATAGTCACGTAGTTTTAACGTGTCCTAAAGATAGCCAAGTGAAGGAAACTGACATGTTGAAATGAAAGAGACTGACAAGGAGCAATCGATAGTTATTATGTGAGAGAGATTATCGAAGTTTCGAGTGGGAAGCTGCCAAGCTATATCTTGGATCTTTAGCAATCACCCAACCTTCTTTCATTTGTTCATGATCCCACCTTATCGCTGCTTTGGATTTTGTCTCTGGTGGCTAGCTGGTGACTAGTGGCTGTATGCCCTCAGATTTCCCTAAAGATGATGAGGAATGTTGGATAGTGGAAGCCTTGAGCCCTAGGGCCCAGGCAAATGCCCGAATTCGACCTTCTGAGGTTCCGGTTGCAATGTTTGGCCCGTTGGGTGACTACTCTCCCAAAAGGAGTTTCCACCAACGACGGCTTGTTGGGTTCCATGTAAATCTGAAGGAGAGTACTAAGAATCAGGTACCCCAATGTCGGTTTGGATTTTGGCTGGGGATTTGAACCCCTGCCCTGGTTCTTGCGGGTACGTGGGAAACCACCCCGAACTAAACCAAACCAATCCAAAACCAACCAACTAGTGGAAGGCGGAAACACCATCCCAGGCTGTCTGATGCGCTGCAACTCGTCAGCACCTCAGTTCGCCGTCGGCCCGCGTGATCCTTTTCTCGAGAGACCTCCTGGGGTCCATATTTGGGAGAGTATCCGAGAGTAGGATCGTTTTCCTTCCCGCCTTGCCTTCACCTTGGGGCAGGCTAAATAAAGGGCTGGGACTTAGAAGGAGAGGCTTCAAAGATGAAAACTGAGAAGCAGAAGGCGGTCTGATTGTCAGAAACAATCGCATGACTCCCCAATCAACAGCCCAAAAACGTTTCAGGGGTTATTCATTTGTGGTTCCCAGCTACCATCCAACCATCCATTCTCTCAATTGTGAAACATGGCAGGGTGTAAATGGGAAGCTGACCCGATGCATCAGACAAATGTCAACATACAAAACAATTAGCAAAGCAGTCTTGGCTAGTCGGTTTTTGCGTTGTTCAGCCTTGCACGTGTACTCTGTGCATTTGCATTGCCTTTGGCCAGAAATGAAGCTTGAAATAATATTGATTCTGACAGTGTCCTGTGGGTTTGTTCGTTTGGGGTGTCCCACTACCCCATCAATTGCTGCGTGTCCTTTGCAAAACTGCAACGTCTGCAAACCTGCGATGCTGCGTCGTATGGATTGCCTTAACCTTGGCATTAATATGATAATGTTTGAATTGTATGCAGGGAAGCCAAATGTAACCAGCCAATTGGAGGGAAACATGCTTTGACCCATGCCCCTGTGTTGTTCTTAAAAAAAAAGGAAACCACACTTATATTATATACATACATGTATATACATTATTGCGACCTTCACCTTCACAGGGTTTATAGGAATGCCTGTATAAAACTTTATGACCATTTTGGTAGAGCCAAAGGTCGAGGTGTATTGGAAGCTCTGTTGCAGTACCTGAAACCTCCCAATCTAGACAAGGGTTTGTCCGAGCCATTCCGAAAGACGATCAAACCTCAAGTTGTTTGAACATTGGTCAACGAATTCTGTTGCTTCCCGACATTTCAGAGCAACTCTGAAGACCAGTGCACAGCTGCCCTCCCCTTCGAATTGCCTTGACGATGTATTCCTTGTGGAACCCAAGCTCCTCCAAATGCATTTGGCGGGAAATCGGACCAGCTGGCCAATCAGGTTCATGGGTTGAAGTGGTGTGTCTGTTGGCCAGTTTGTCCCCGAAAAAGGAGCACGAAGGACGCTCCCTTTGTGTTCCTACGAGTTACCATTCTGGTCGCCAGGGAGTTGTCCTTTCGCCTGTACATGCTGACCACTATAGTTGCCATCGTTTTGTTCATTTTACCATGTACCATTCTAGAAGGCTACCAGAAAATAATTATAGTCACCATGTGTAGTAGACCATTTCGCGGGTTGTCACTCTCATTTTCGTTCGGTCTCCCCCATGACTATTCTATACCTTTTGGGACTAAAACAGGGTTAGCAGAATCCGCAAAACGTCTTTTCCAGATAAACCTCCCACACCTTTTCGTGGTGTTCGTCCACCCAAGTTCCAGTGGCACTCTGGTTCAACACCTCCAATTTTGCCACACAGATTATTTGAATGTTCAACTTCGAGGGAAAGTGTGTGTGTGTGTGTGTTTTGTCAAGTATTCTCACTTCCCCAGTTCCTGGCCTTGATACTTTTTGGTAAGACCACGTCAGTGGCAAGCAACAAAACCACATTTTGTGGCCAATCCGCTCGTTGGGAAGTGAGACCAAGCGGAGCTCAGAGCGAGGTGCTGCTGCCGGGCCGGGGTCGGGGCCTCACCCTGGCGCGGCCGGTGGAGGCTGGAGAGCTGCTGATGGTGCCGGGAGACCTGGTGACGGCACCGACTTAACCGGGCAGCACTGGGGGGTGTGGGCTCACAAAAGGAAAGCGACCCCCCCCTAACAAAATCAGATTTCCTCGGGTTGAGGAGCGGAAACTTCTTTGGGTGGAAGGGACACTCTTTTTTTTTTGCGGTATCATGATGATTTGAAGGGCATTGAGGTTGTCTGACATGGCCTATTGGTGATTGACAGCCTCAAAAGCACCCTGCGACATTTTTCGGGCAGTCAATGTTCATTACACCGCTTAAGGGTAATCCCATTAAGGGTAAACCCCAAAGTGCATAAGGGCAAATATGCCTTAAGGCTGAAGCGCCATTCAGTCGAAGCCCTCCCTTTCCACTAGCAAAGTAGTCTTCCAAAAGCGGGTGCGAGGACCTTACATTCCCACATAAAGGCAAAGGGTGGATGATGATGATGATGATGATGATGATGATGATGATGATGATGATGATGATGATGATGATGATGATGATGATGATGATGTTGATGCCAAACCTGACTCAGTTAAGGGCCACAGACAGCAAACAAACTCTTGTTCCCGGGCTTCACCTGCCCCCAAGGTCCAAAGCGCTCTTTCTGGCGCCGGCAGACCAGATCCAGCCAGGGCCTGAATCGGAGAGGGGGGAGGGTGTACAGGCAGGAGGTAGGATCCTGGGTTTTGGCATGGATTTAATGTGGCCGGGGGTTGACGACGGGGCAACGACCCTGAACTGCAACAGCAGTTCTTTCTAAACTGCTAGTTGCTTGTCTGTTTGTTCCCTGATTGGATCCCGTCAAGTGGAAAGAATTACCTGGACTCTACCTGGACCTGGCACCGAACGACCTATCCTGTCGCGTCTCAAATACGCACCCCCTTTTCAGATGGTCAAGGAAGTGAAGGGAAAGGACGCCACTATGTCCACATCAAATATCCAGGGTTCCCTACGTTTCCCCGTTTGCTTCTAGGTCCGACACGGTCAAGTGAGTAGACGGATTTTTCCACAGCCGGGCTGCGGCCAATAAGGGCCATCCTCCTTGGTGGAAATGTGCCTTAGTTTGCAGCCATGTGGGGCATCTCAAGGCATCAAGATGACAACAGCTCTTGATTCACCAAGCGAACAGAAGGAAGCATCGTGCTTGTTCTCAAGGAAATCATGAGTAGTTTCGCATGTGATCAGATTTCTGGAAGGAGCTCGCGAGGTGTCTAACATGTGTCGAAACACCGCTTTGCGTCCGGGTTTTGGTCCACAGCCCAGGCGATTGATTTGTGGCTTCGGATAAGTGAAAGCTTCATTTTCCAAGTACCCAAATGAACCCCAGCAAGCAGTATTTTCCGTTTTATTTCTAGGCCCCGCGTCAGACCACGTCTCCTTTGTTTAGCTGGTTGACTTCTTTTGCCCTAGGTGGATTTCGTGGGAACTAGAAACCCATTTCGGGGGGGTCCGACCTCAAAGACGAGCCCGAGATCGCAGCGAGCCAGGCCCGTGGCAGTGAGTTGGCTCCTCGAGGCGCGGAGCCAGGGAACCCATTCCGAGTCAAAAACACTGCCCTGGTCAATATTTGGGTCTGTCTTGGGCCTTGTTTTAATGGGAAACCAAGCTTTGGGGGACCCCTAAAAAAAGACGCACCGATTTAGTCTGCACCCAAACAACTTTGGAGGAGACCCCCGACACAGGATCCTGAGCGTTTTCCGAGGCCTTTCTTTTTCGCACGGGGACAATAGCAACCCAGAAGAAGGGAGTGACATTCCCTGTGCTTCCAGTGAAGCCGTGTCATGGTAGGGGAAGCCGTCAGAGTCGAAGTACAGTTCACTGTTAAATGAGAAGCAGTTTCCTGATAAAACAAAAACAACAAAAGCACTTCCTTTCAGCAATCCTAGACACCAAGGCCAGCTTGCCCTGCTGCAAGCATCAGGTGTTACCATTTAATCCGAAAGTCCTGGTCTTGACTTCCTTTTAAGCCATGGTTCGTCTTGTGGAACCAAGAAACGCCCTGGCGGCTAGCCCCCAATACACCCCGGCCCAGCGTGAGATACGGGAGGCCACAGTACGGCAGAAGCAGCAGTTCTACAGCCTCTTCGATGGGTCCAACGGCGACTCGGCAAGCCATCCCCCGAACCAAGGAACGATAGGTGGCAAAGGGTGATGTCTCCAGCCAAACCGAACAGAAAGCCTTGAAGAGACACCATTGCTGACAAAACGGAACACATACCTTGAACAAACTGTGCAGTACGGTCATTGCCTCAAAGTCGAGACACCTTTTGGAGGCAAAGCGAAAAACAACGACCTGTAACAAGCTGAGTCCAAACCTGGAGGTCAAACCGGTTCGGGATGGAAGCCACAGGACGCCAATCACAAGGCGATACCTCACTCACTGGTGCCGGTATAGGTTCATCAGCATGATGTCGAGTATGCCTCCTTTCCAGGGACCCCCCTGAAACCTGTGTGGCTTCCTTCCATTCATTTGCAGGGGAGCAGAAATGCCGCCTACTCTAGCCTGGTCACCTACAATGGTGTATGGGCAACAGAAGGGCGAGTTCCCTGGCACTGCAAGTCGCAGAAACTTTATCAAAAAATCGGACTCGCCCCTTTGGGACGGTACTTAAGGCTTTCGTTGTTTGTCTCCTGCCTTGAGGTGACGTGCTGGTGCCGCTGGACCTGTACCGGCCAGGAGGTGATGCTGTTGAAGGCCATGGTGAAAAGACATTCAAGGGTTTTCGTTTTGAGATAAATAATTACTTTCAGTTTCAGTTCAAGAGTTGATTCCCTATTCTCTTCACGCATCGTTCTCGCTTCGGACACCACCAAGACAACAACTTTCTGAAGAGGCAGCAGGGGCATTGCCCAAAAGTGAAGGCCGGCATGAGGATTCCCAACAAGCCATGACCCACGCACAGCATGCTAAGCCAGTGGAATGCCTCATAGGTGCACCGTTCGAGTCGTTGGGTCATGGTCGGCCCGTATTAATCCCTTGCCCCTGTCAATAATTGCACCCTATTAAATAGATGCTACTTTTCCTTGACATCCAGGGCCCCGCACTATTGTTCATTGACGATTCTAAGCCAAAGATAAATCAGACAATTCCTTGCCCATGCCAACTGCAGGCCCAGAATCGGGGACAAATAACCAAAAACGTGTTTTCCTTTACGAATTCCTACTGCCAACAATTCATATCTACAAACATAGTTCCCCTGGTACTTTACAACTGGGATGCTCACAAAAGTCAGGAAGCTAAGGCACCCGTTTGCGAGAAACAGTACCCCTGCCAGAAGTTGTGTGTACCCCAACTTGCCCAAGCAAGCCCTTCGTCAAACGGCTGGAGATTAGTGCTTCTCTCGTTCCGCTTGAAGCATCATCCAAAGAGAAAATGCATTTTAGAAACAGCCAGCTGAGGTTCGGCAAACATATCCAGTGCCACGTTATTTTCAATACCCGGGACGAAACTTACCATGTCCTCTAGGGTGACCAAGGCAGATGCTGACCGTGGCTCGCTTGGATGCATTTGGATGCAGGCCTGCCAGTACCTGAACGCATGGATCCAGAGCGGATCTACCAGATCCTGGCTTTGAATGGCCTGCAGGCCAGGGTGTGTCAGCTGTACTTGATTTGCCATGCTGTCTTGTTCAAACATGACGTTCAACATAGGGAACCCTGTTGGTCGCCTTTTTCGGGGGCCCAACACAGCGAGAGGCAACAGATCCCTTGAGCAAGTCTGGCATAGAAGTTGACACTTGCCAATGTCGATTGTCCGCTTCCAAACACCCACAATCTAAATCCCAACCAGCAAATCCCGGTCAACACCATGAAAAGGGATCGCAAGAGCTGTTCGTAGAACAAGAAGTGACTGTTGATTCATGGCCCCGTGCTTATCTCCAATGACCACTAGTGATTGTTGCTCACAAACCGGGGGACATATTCGAGCAGGAGACAACAAGAACCAGGGTATCGGTTTTTTGGGGTGGTCCCTACAAGTTTTGCAGTGTCGGCCTTGGATCGTTGGTGGTTCCCTGATGGTCATATTGTTTGCTCCCTGTGGGCTTCGAAAACAAACGTGGGGCCATTAGGGGTGCAGGGCATGACAACAGAAATCTGATGGGTGCCGAGTGTTCGGATTTTCCGTTACCCCATACCCGTCAAATGGTCCCTTAAGGCAAATGGTCTGAGCCAGGACCTCTGTGAGATTCTGTGGAGATGGAGCTTCGGTTTGGGGATTCGCCGGGCTGCGAAAGCCGCAGGCCGACAAGCTTCAGGCCGGCAAGTCGCTCGGCACTCCCAGCGGGCGCGCAAGCGAAGGATGCCAACATGGGATATGAAGAAAATGGGCCTGCACTCAGATGAAGGATCCACAATTTGTGTTTTATTGGTTGTTTGCTGTTGGTGAAAGGAAATGGGAGGTGAATCCTACTGTTTTGCTTCGCAGTCAAAAAACGGGGTCAAGGCCCCCTCTTGGAAGGGAAACTAAGAACAAACAAACACCACCGGTGCTTCCACTTACCTCCAAAGTGGCTTCCAGTTGTTCAGGATCCTTCTATATTTTCTCTGTTGGCGTGGCGTTCAATGAGCACTTGCCATGACTAGCAAGTATGTTTTGGTTTGCCCCTTATTAAGCAAAGGATATTCCCTCACCCAACCCCCCCCCCCCTCCCCGTGCCATGGGCACCTAGAGTCTATGTTGCAACCAAGCACCCCAAAAACCAATACACCGAAAGCAAGGAGGTTGCAAAATAGACACCCCCCCAAAAAAAACAACAACAACAAACAACAAAGATGACGGATCTTGATGCCGCGCTGCCCCTTTGCACCCACACGCCATGGGGAAGTGATCGGACAATCCCAGTTTGGTAGATTTCACCCGTTTCGGTTCATGTTTGCGAAAATAGTTGAACATCACCATAATGGTTGTTGTTCTTGCTTTTCGGGCATGGTGGTGAAGAAACGGCTTTGTTGCCATTTTCTATGATACCAAGGCAATCCCCTGAAAGTTGTCATGGGGATGGCCCATGTTGGTATCACAGAAGGCGCTATGTTCCACAGCTATGTTTTGGTTGGATTCGGGACCCACAAAATGTTGGACCCTGTGCCCAGAAAGAAATGGTTCCAACTCGTTTTCTTCTGAACCAGGCCACTGGTTGCAAGGGGATTTTGAGGAGGCTGTAGTAACATGATTCGCCAGAGGCAACTCTGTGGGTGAAGCCTGGAGGTACCCGAGCTTGTTTGGGGGAGAATGGTCGGGTTGGCGGAGGACTTTTGCAGGTTTTGGTGTTTTTGGCCAAGTTCAATCCCAAAAAAGGGGCCTTGTGCATCATCCTGTGAGCAAACCCTTTGATGAAATGAAGGCCCCACGATGGTCATGCAGGTTGTCCTTGGTTTACAAACTTGGTGGTGTCCTTTTTGTTGGCTTGGTGAGGAATGTGAGTGAATGACCGGAGCCGTCAGCTGCAGATGGGTTAGGTCTATGGTCCATTCCAGTAAATCCTTCTCAGTTCGGCACGTAGCAGGTCATTCTGGCGCATCTGCATCGAACAATTGCTGACACCGCAAAGCACGGAACCCGAAAAGGAGATTCTGCTACAAATGAAGGCTTGGGGTCTTATAGGGAGGGATCGGCCTGAATTTGCTCTCATTTGGGAGGGCCAGGGGGGACTCACGAAATTCCCTGGAGAAATCTGAGGACTCACCAGCTCCAAAGGCCTGTTTGCTTGGGGAAGCACTCGCGATACTGACCGTGTGAAGCAAACGGATTCTTTCTTTTACACTGATGGTTTGCTTGTATCAATTTGGCAGTAAGGATCTCGTAGTCGCTGGGTTCGTGCTTTGCTTGAAACATGGTTCTTGACGAAAATACCCACGGTGCCACAAAGCACAGTGTGCGCCAGCCCGAGGAAAGCCGACGAGCACACAACGCCGGTGTCTGGACTTTGGGCGATACCTTCCCTGCTCAACCACGTGGCTCGGTTCAATTCGAAGCTTGTGGATTCCCGAAGAGTTATTTGTCACATCCCTTTGTGCATCCCCAGCTAGAGATGAGATTTTCCGGTGAAACTTGTCGAAATGTTAGATCACATCCCTAGCAAAATGGGCCCACGGGATGTAAAAAGGGATGTGTCTATGAATTTGTGAGGAGAACACCCTCCCAAATGGTTGGAGGGCGTAAAGTCCCACCTTTGTAGTGTCCACCAAAAAGGTCCGCAGCAAAATGTCCGGCTGAGGCGTGCCTTCCATCTACTGTGGCAGTGCCCCTAACGAAGACCACCTTGGCCTTTGTGGCTGTGCTGGGCTCAGCCTCTGCGTGAATTGTCTGCCCGACTCGAAAGGTGCGCATTTAGGGGCAATATCATGAGTATAGTTAGCTTTGTATTTCTGATATTTCGAAGAACATAGAAAAACAAAACACCAGCATAGACCCCAGATTGCACACCACGGCCACAAACCATGACGCAACAGCACCATGATGATACCGTGTTGCGCCAAACAAACGCGCAGACAACGTCCTAATGAGTTTAGTAGCATAATGATGATATTGAGAAGATCATGCTGATACAGCCACGCATGAGTCCGCGCTACATATCTGGCAGGAAAAGGCAAAGACGACGTCTTGATGAGTTTGAATGATGATACGGATAGCATCATGATGATGCGGACAGCATCATGGTGATGCGAATAACGTCATTCTGATGGTAAAGGCAGCACCATGATGATACCACAGCCACGAATCATCTTGCGACAGCGTAAGGAAATTCAGCATCATCCTGATATTGACAGCATCACGGCGCCACTACACCCACAAACCATAACGCAGCAGCGCAGTGACCCCAGCAGCATCATGACGTGGTTGAGAACATCATGACGATACACCAGCCACGAACCATTACGCGCGAACAGCACCCACCAGCACCCCAAGCTGCATGCCCCTCCACCAGCACCCCAAACTGCATGCCCCCTAGCACCCGGCCAGCTTGCAAAATAGCATCCACCAGCACCCCAAACTGCATGCCCCCCAGCACCCGGGCGTCAAGCTCGCAAAACAGCATCCACCAGCACCCCAAACTGCATGCCCCCGAGCACCCGGCCGTCAAGCTCGCAGAGCAGCATCCACCTGCACCCCAAACTGCATGCCCCCCAGCCCCCGGCCGTTAAGCAGCACCCCAAACTGCATGCCCCCCAGCACCCGCCCGTCAAGCTCGCAAAACAGCATCCACCAGCACCCCAAACTGCATGCTTCCGAGCACCCGGCCGTCAAGCTCGCAAAACAGCATCCACCAGTCCACCAGCACCCCAAACTGCATGACCCCTAGCACGGCCGTCAAGCTCGCAAAACAGCATCCACCAGCACCCCAAACTGCTTGCCCCCTAGCACCCGGCCCTCAATCTCGCAAATCACTTTCCCCTCGTTATTAGAAGTTAGAACCCCTATAGCTTTCAGCTACTTGGGGAATGAATACGAAAATGCGGACACTCTAGAATTAGCCTCACGCTTATCCCCGCAGAAAAGTTTTCTCAGAGTCGATCAGATTCCATGTGAGGCTCCTTTCGATTCTTTCCTCGGTGTGAGGCGCGCGGAATGCCCGCCGGCGCGGAGCTGACGACGAGATATTGCCGCCAAGCCGCGTTTCAGCCGTTGCGCCCTCCACGCTTGTCGCTGATCAGGTCTGAAGCCCTGGGGTTCGGACCTTTCGGTTTGACATTGGTTTGTGTCTACGAGTCCAGGCTCTTGCCACATCCCTTTTCGCATCTCCAGGTCCAATTCCGTTTGTTTTTTGAACAAGGTCCGACAAGTTTAAGGAGATGATAAGAACATCACATCCGTTTGCGGGAGGACCGGTGATTCGCAGTTGACGGGTGTATGTATCCTTATGTCGGATCTAAGTTGTTGAAAGCCCCGAGACAGTCCAAACCAGTTGAGGTCACCTTGGCTAGCGCAAGCACACATGCTTGGTCCTCGAAACATGAAGGTCTTCAGTTTGGGTAATTAGGAGGCTATTGGTTGAGTCCGGGGTTCAACATGACATGGGTTTGCCATGTGTCACATTCATGCGTCATTAATTTGCTTTACCATGGTTGACTCGACGTTCCGATTTTTCTCCTCCTCCATGTGTTTTACCATGTCGGACGTGTTGTTCAGGGTTCAACTCACATTTTACTTTGAGGATGGTTTCCCTTTACATCACCATTTGGAGGGTAATATTTGGCGAGACCCAGTGTTCACCAATACCTCATGTTTGCCTTTCGCCATGTTCGACTTGTTGTTCACCATGTTCCACATTCACGTGATTACCCTGCTCACTGTTGATTTACGTGTGCCATTGTTTACCTTTGTCTCACTTGTACCAATGAAATTTGAAATTTCAGTGGGGGGGGAACACAGATGGGATACTTTTTGGGGGACATCCGCTCCAGAGGTGTATGGATATGCATGTGTGTCTATGTTTGTTCATGTTTTTTTTATGCCAGCGTTCCTACATCCCGTCATCTCTCTCTCTCTCTCTAACGCAGCACGTGCAACGTGCCTAGCGGTGGATTGCGTAGCACAACCTCTTAGGGTCGCGGTCACTCGGAGTGACGATGTACTAAGTACATCCTCGCCAACTGCAGAACAATGATGCTGACCCGTGCCGAGGCACCTCAAAAGCGGTCAACATGAGGGAAAATAAAAGCATGGCCTTGGTGACCTGGCAATTTCCTACCGACACAGGTAGCCATTCATACCACGCGATCGTGCTACTAGATGGGACATGTGTTCATCCATCATAGTGAGCGAAGAGCACTGGTACAAAAAAAAGTCCAAACATACTGAAAGTGCAGGCCTCAAATTGCCAATGGGAGGGTTATGTTGCCAAGACCGGTCATCATGCTAAACTAAAGATGAAAAGCGGCAGATGGCTGCGTGTAAGCACACAAATGCAGAAAGTTGCAAATTATTGCGCTCACGCGAATGCTGGCTATCACAAGCTGCTCATCTGAACTGGCAACTCACTGCATGGACACAAACCGCAGTGGCAATTTTTCTTGCTCCATGGCCATAAGTCACAAATTGATGCAGCTAGCATTCTGGTTGCGTTGCTGCACAGCCCCAAGACATCAAGGATGGACCCCGATGTTACCCAAGTCCACAGCCAGAGTAAGTCAGGTTAAGAAAGCATGACTGAGGGTGTTGCCGGACTAGGGAAAGCGGTCAGCTACTCAGATTTCGGCTTCAAGATGGTCACCCTTAGCACACCAAAGCAGATACGGCTCGCCCTGAATTTGATCCAGCGCTCTGGCCGCTTCATGATCGTCCGTGGCCCAGGCCTGGCTGTGATCCCAAAGGACGTTGGTGTAATGACCTGAAAGCATAGTGCGACCATGATGGACCGTGCATGCGATCACCGTGTACACCTGGTGGCTTGTTACAAGGCCGCCACCCTCAAACCTTGGAATGGCAAGCAGCCTGTGTTCCAAATCAAGTTTGGCAAAGTTTTTGCACAGCCGGCCATCAGCTGACCTGCTAAACCGGCTAACCTGGAGCACAAGGAGCTTTGGGTCGCCATCTAGCGCATGCAAGGAAGACTGCGCATGCCAGCTTTCCACTAAGGTCTGCGGGGTGAGAGTGTCACGCACGTGTGCAACAGCTAAGGGCAACACTTTGAGTGTGGATCCTTGGTCTGTCTGGACCACCTGGCCATCCACAATACGCTTTGCAGACCAACCGAAGCTCATGTCAGGTGGCCGGCATTTGCTCAACAAGTAGTCACACAGTTCAGCTGCATCCTGTTGCTGGTCCATGTGCCGCCATTCGTTAAGCAAGCGTTGCCATGGAAACATGCTGGGAATGTGGGTGGGTGCTCCTGCAAGGGCTTGCAGTGCCTTCCAGGCATCGTTGCCATCGCCACGCGCGTTCACCTCAGACGTACCAAAGGCTTGGAGCCAAGCAAAAGCAGCGGCCACAGCATTTAGGTAGCAGATGTTGTTAGGGTTACAGAGATTTAAGGCAAGGACCCATCGAGCATGTCTTTCACCCGCCGCGCCAGCGCCGAACGCTGGAAGCTCTCGCGCCGCCATTGCAAGCCGATCAGCTGAAGCACACAGTTGCCTTGCAGTTCGAGCATGGTCTGATGCACCTGGTGCGATGCCGGATCCCTTACTGTCAGGTCCAGCATGAAGGTGATTACCGAGCCGGTGAGTTGCTCCCTCAACGGTCGTGTGGCATGGAAGCGATTCACCATGTTCGGCGTGCTGAGGCCCTTTTCGAGGAGAGCCAGTTTGGTGAGCATCTCTTGGTGAGGTATGCCTTGGCGTCCGTTGTCCGCTTTCAGAAGCTTCTGTTCCTTGTCCCAAACCTGGAACCCCCAGACCAGCTCTGTCGAGCACCATCCCGCCTGAACCGCGGCGTTTCTCTCTTCTGGCTGACTGGCCACGGCTTTCAACCTGAGCACAAGCTGGTGGATGATGGCCTGGATCATCACCGTGCGCAACGGGTGTTGGGACAGCGGGCCTGGCTGGCCCTGCTGGGATTTCCACGTTGCCGTCACCTGAAACAAGAGGCTGGTCAACCCGGGCGGCTGCGTCTTCATGAACATCACGATTCCTGTGTCTTGACGCAGGATCTGCAGAGCATCCTCTTGCCTCAAGGCAAGCTTGGCCAGCGCCGTGATCAGTTCCGACTCTTCGCTTGAAGTAGACGTGCAGGCCGCCGGCCGGTTCTTTCGCTTGGGGCCATTGTTTTGTTTTGCTCCGCCCTGGTCTTTGCCCTGGAGCCGCGCATGCTTGGCTGGCCTGTCGGCTGTGTCTGGCGCGTGGGTCCCTGCTGCATTCGGCTTTTGGATCATCCCGAAGAACTCGTCGATCTGATCCACATTCATGTTGCTCCTGATGCTCAGGGCGTGCAGGACTGGTTTCAAAAGAATGGTTTTCAATCCATACTTGCAACATGCTTGCTTGCCACAGCACAGTGCACTGCCTTTGATGCTGCCTAGCATCCTTTGCAGAGGACTTGCAGAAAGCGCAGGGGGCAGCTGCGGGTCCACTTAACCAAGCGCTGCAGCGTGTGGCATGGTCAGAGTGCTGCTGCATGAACTGCGCATGCATGTGCTTGTAATGGATCTTCACTGCTTTGGTGGACGCGTGCCATCTGTGGCAAATTGCACAATGACGGGACAAGGTTTCACAGTGTTGTTCATCAGCCAGCACTCCTTTTGCGCCCGAAGCACGCACGAGCGCCCTCACTTCAGGCCGCAGGGCCAGCGGCAATTCGCCATCTAAACTGGACACGGCAGCCTGATGCGCAAGATTCTGGTCTCCTGGCAGGTTGCCAGCTTCTTTTTCACGGCTTGGGGCCCGCGCATGGATGCACGCTGTGCTCCTGGCCTCATCTGCAACACTGGCCGCACCAACCTGGGCGCACAGCTCTTTGGGCTCAAGTTGGGGGCACCATCCTTTGTCGATATGCTGCTTGAGCTGAGGCCATTGCGCAAAGAGCTTGTGGCAAAGCGCGCACGTTGGCATGCCATTCAGCCCATGCTCCTGCATGCTGAAAGTGCACTGCTGGTTGCGCTGCCCGTGCGCTCGTCGCCTATGAGTACGAAGTCCTTTAAGATTACCAAAGCTCATGCCGCAAGTGGGACATGTCACCTGCACTGGCCCGGCCGGCACAAGCGGCTCTGCGAGGTCTCTGGTTTGAGCGCCATGCTGCCTTGGCCTCGAAGGCCAAAGAGGCTCCTGCCCTGCCATGACCAAGGGTTCTTTCATCTGCCACTTGTCAAGCAACTGACGGTCCGACACCTTAGTCAGATGCGCTGGGCACTTGGCAATAGCACGGATGTGCCTCATGGCCGCAGTGTGCAATTTTTGCCTGCTTGTGGATGGCAGCTGGCAATTACAAAGGCCGTAGGACATGGTTGTCCACACACATGCGCGCCACATGTCCAACCTTTGCTTCGTACTCAGGCTGGTACGAGAGTGCAAAATCTTGGCAAGGCGCCAATACTGCGCAGCACCCCGCTGCAAGCGCATGTTTAAGGTTTGCGCCTCATAGTGGGTGTAGCTGAGAGCGACCCCCAAGTATTCGAGTTGCCTGGCGATGGGGATTAAAAGCGGTGTGTCCCCACTCACAACAAAGAGAGCTTTGACATCCCGTCATCGCCCAACACACAATCGACCAATGGCCTTGCCACCAGGTGATGTTTAAGAGCCCCTTGCGGGAAATATGGCTCTGTCTTCTTTGATGGGGATCTCCGCTAAAGGCCGTGAGATGGCCTTTGCATCCTGTGTTCTTCGTCGTTTTCGGGTTTTATTGTTTGTTTTTGAGAGATGCCGAGTGGTGTTGCATTAGCCAAAAGTCCATGGGCGCTGAGCGCGGCCGCAGTTCCACTTGGATATCCCACAGATTTGGGTTCCGTTTGACTCTGCTTTCCTGGGGAAAGAGCGATTGTTGTGCGCGAAGTGTTTGGTTTGGGTCGGCGATGACGTAGACTCAAGGCCAGGCTGATTTGCTAGAAACCATGTGGGTTTCAGTCTGCTTGGGGGGTAGCCACCAAGGGTTTCTTGAGAAATGGCCGTCCAGCCGTGACATGAAGTCCAGGCTAAACCTTTCGGAACATGGGAACCCCAATAAGGAAAACCAAATGGTCAAAAGGTAGTCTTTGGGATTCCCTTATGACACATTTCCAGAGCTTTCCACACTGATTCTTTCAGAGCTGCCTATGGTTTTTGTCCCTGCTGTTCAAAACGTAAGGATTTGGCCGTATTTTCCTTGCCCTAGCCCAACGAGCCCATGACCCTAAATTTGAAGGCCTGGAACCCCCCAAAAGACTCCAAATAAAAGAAGTCTTGGGAGCAACAAAATTAATCTTTCTGATTTTGTGGCCCCTCTTGGAACCAAGCATTTGTTTGGGCCTATGATTGAAGCAATCCACTCATCCCAGCCTAGGATTGAAACTTGGATTCGGCGGACCGCCGCTCGATCGCTGGGATGTGGCTTGAGGCCAGCTGCAGCTGCCGCTAGCTCAGCGCCGCGCCGAGCTGAAGCGCCAGAAAGGCGACAGAAGCCACGGGGTGGGAGCCCGGGAGGGGCCACTGGAAAATGGGTCTGGATCAAAATTAAACCACCAGGGGACCGCAGATGTTAGTCTACATTTCCACTTGCCAGGGTTCCAGTTTGGGTACCTATTCTTGAAACATGTTGGAACATCAATGGAACGCTGAAAAAGATGGGGCATAGAATGACATAGACTGACATAGAGTGACATAGAGCGTGAATGAACATGATGAAGCTTGATTGAACATTGCGGAACATGATGAACAATATGATCCCTATGCGTCCAAAGCCTGTTTGCAAAATAGACGTTGTGACGACCCCCGGTTGTTTTGACAAATTCTATTTTTTGGTGTCTAGCGTCAGCCTCCGTTTTGGACTCTTGACGCTAAGGCCGCTCCGTATGATCTTAAAGTCGAATATGTATCTACAATATGCAGCAACAGGCTTAACAATTTGTGCGGCTAGTGCTAGCTTCTATCTTGGTGCTATCCCACCTTTTTGCTCTGCTTGGTTTCATGTAACATGTCCATGCAGCGCGTGAAGGTGAACCCTCTTCTGTTCGTTGCAGTCCTTCCAGCCCAGCCCCTTCGGCTAACCGAAAGCAAAGCGGGACAGCTTGGAACTCTACCCATCACAGCAACCATTGCGGGATGAGGATGTTGATCCTCTGGGTCCCCTGCAAACAATGCCCGTTCTACGCCAAACAATGGTGACTCCACGCCAAAAAATGGTGGCTCTATGCCAGAAAATAGTTGATCTACGGTTTTTATATGGCTTGTCTACGGTTGCGTCGTCTTTGGACCTGTGTGAAAATTGGACGCAAGAAACAAGCCAACAACTGCTTGTTGTCCGTGCCACCTGCGCAAAATGCAGAGGCAAACCTATACTCTGCCAGAATCAAGGCTCTCTCCACGCAAGATGTTCAGCAGGTGCGTCGCGCAGACATCAAAAGGGATCTCAGGACCCTATCAAGAAGAACAGTGTACTTGTCGCTAGCAGCTCCCAAGGCTATACTTGAGAGGTTACACTAGCAGGCGTGGTTCTCGAAGAATAAAGTAACAACCCAAAATGGACCGCAAAGGCCAAGTCAAAAAATAGGTGTGGTAAATCCAACGAAGGTTGGGGTTGAGCAACCCCGATTCAAGAATAGTCGAGGAAGCATGGGGTGATGAAAGCGTACCCAATTGGGCAAATTTGCTCCGAAAACATCAACAAACTTAACCAAGACTAAACCATTTTTTAAACCGAACTGGCTCAAAGGAATCCTCAAGCAATTGAAGACCATGCAGAGAGGACCAACGACCGAAGCAAAGCCAATACCACAGAAATACAGAGCAATACCCAGCCAGTGCTAAGCTTGGGAAAGGCCGATCTGACCTCCAAAGCGTTTTGCCGGTCCTTTTGGGGCTCCAAAGTCTGCTTGAGGGGCCTTTGCTATTCAGGCGCCCACATGAAAAATCATGACGCATGCTGGGAACCTGCGGAAAAACTAGTCCTGAGTCCATGAACGCTGCGTCACCATTCCATCACTCATGTTACTCGGATGGGCCATGTTCTTTCGTTTTTCCACTGAGCCCGGGTAAGCATGTTGAAGCTGCCAAGCCCAAAAACGGGAACGGCGTCTGAACAAGTTGGTCATAATGTCATAAGCAGGTGTTCATTTGCGGATGCCAAGGTAGACTTACAGCTGGAAGCTAGCGGTCACACTGAATCCTGACCTTGTGCTTGCCTTTCGGCAATCAACATATGGAACTCTGGCAGTTGAGATGGTTTCCCTGGGCCCCCAAACGAATGGCCAGGCGCAATTTAGATGATGGAGCTCTACCACATTCAAAGAATGGTGTGTATATTTACCCCGATTGTTGTTCTTTTTCAGGTTTTGTGTTTGTTTGTGGGTGTTTGACTTCCATATCATGGTGGTTCCGGTTGCAAACATGTTTAGCTTGGGGTTTCACCCCCACTTTGCGCCTTCAAATGATGCGCTCCTTGACGCTTTGCCGCAACTCCGAATTGGCTGCTGAGGTTGAAAGCTGCGAAAAAGCGCAGGCAGATGTTATGTGTCCAAGGGAAATTCGTGCGTTCGCTGAGGACATAAACCCCCGAGAAGTGATTCTTATTGCGGGTGGGGAAGAACAAGTTATCCCTGGCTGGGACTCCTTCATTCGGGTCTGCAAACTGGGCGCCCCGCATGTTCGAGGCTTCGACTGCCATTGCCGGCGCTGCGAGGTGGAGTCGATTGTGCCGCCCTGCCTGGTTTCACGTCCTTAGGTGTTTGCCATTGGGTTGGATCTTCAACCTTGAACTAAGACAGTTTTCGGGGTCCCCGTGCACTAGGGTTCGGGCGCCCCATTGTGAGGACCCACTTATGATGAAACTTTACGGCAGACAATGGTGGTAACATCAACCCCAATTGGGGTATCAACCCCAATTGTTTCAATGGGTGTGTCTCTCCTCCCCCCCCCCCCACACAAAAACAATGGTTACAATGTCATTGTCTTGTCAATCGTGGTTTGAAACCCAGGCATGGGTCTGCTTTTTGTGGGTGGCGGTGCCCCTAAAACACGCAAGTTTTCCTTTTGGCTTCCATGAACAACTGCAAACAAAGGGGTACTCGGAAAAAGACGAGCCACCCATGTCCCGTTTTGTTTGAACATCACCTTTTCGCCAGGCCGGACCAGCTCTCACGCAAGCTTTTGGAGGCACAGCAGCGTGCTGCCGCGCTGGCACCTTGGAACTTGGGCGTTTCGGCTGGGATGGTTGACAATGGTTGCGCTTTGGTTTCAACCCCCATGAAACAGAGTTTCCTCAAAATTGCCTCTTTTTGTTCAACCGCAAGAGGCAGTTTCCATGGAACCCACCAGTCAATTGCAACTGAAGGGGAAATCCAGCAACCCCCATGAAAAGAATGGGCTTGGGACCCAATTTAGTTTCAATGGTCGTATATATTAACCCGATTGTTTGATACTTTTCAATGGCTTGAATCCTCGATCGGTCGCCTTTAATGACCCCCATCGAGTCAGGGGTCCAATGGTTCATTCCCACAAGCTCTGTTGATTCCCAGCAAGTCACCTGACAGGAAAACATTTTTCGAAAGGAGCCGCGAGAAAGAACGGCTCGCCAGCTTCCGGGGAGCAAAGCACTTGGTATACTAGGTACTCTGTCGGTTGCTCCTTTTCGCGACTCAGCTTGGTCCTACGTGTTCATTCGGAAGGCGGCACACCCAGTGCTTCCAGCTGCCTCAGAAATAGGTGACCACCATGTAAGCCATCTGAATATTCAGCGAATTTCAAGGGGCACTGGGCCGGGGCCAGAGCCAGCCCAGGATCTGCCGCCCACAGATTTCCTCACAGCCCTCAATGAGGCCCGGCGCGGCATCTGAATCTGCCTTTTCAAGCGCGGGGGTCGATTCGCAGGTGGCGGCCATCACGCGCCGGAGCCTTGGGGCAGTGTTTGGTGTTTCAAAAAAAAATGCAGTCCACGCGCGACGGTGTGAGATGAGGTCGCGAGGTGGTGGCTTGTGCAACGGAGGCGAACCAGTCCCAGGCGACTCAGGCGGGGATATGTCCGGACACGATCGGGCATGGCTTTGCCTGGCTTGTGTGTGTGTGTGTGTTGGTTTGTGTTCTTGGTCGCGGGGTCTCAAAAGGAGATGCATTTGATTGCATTTGTTTTGTTCTTTGGCAGGGACAAATTATCATGCTTTGTCCAGACAGGAAATGACATGTTTTCAGAGTTCCCGTCCTCTCAGGTGCTCCTCGCCAGCTACAGCTCCGTCTTCCTCTCCCGCGCCATGGCACTGGAGGTGGCGGGCGCCGACAGCCAAGCCGCCTGGGAGGAGGCGCAGGGGTTCAGTGGCCGCCATTAAAACCAAAGGGGATATAAAGCACCGCCACCAAGACAAAGAGGAGAAAGAGGGTGAGAATGATATCCACCATGTTTTTCCCGAAAGCATGGCGAAGGGTTCTTCCGCTGAGTTCACTTGAGTTGTTCTCATGAGAGTCATTACAAGGTGTCATTGCAAGGAATCATCATCATGAAAGTCAATGCAAGGAGTCATTGCAAGGAGTCATTGCAAGGAGTCATTGCAAGGAGTCATTGCAAGGAGTCATTGCAAGGAGTCATGAGAGTCATTGCGAGCTGCGCATGGAGTCAAGTGCAAGTTGCAAGTGCAAGGAGTCAAGTGCAAGTTGCAAGTGCGAGGAGTCAGGTGCAAGTTGCAAGTGCATGGAGTCAAGTGCAAGTTGCAAAAGTGCAAGTTGCAAGTGTAAGGAGTCGAGTGCAAGTTGCAAGTGCAAGGAGTCAAGTGCAATTGACTTGCGAGGAGTTAAAATCTCTTCTTAGGGCGGCGGGGTAGTGCCGACGACACTACACGAAAATCGACCCTCTGCGGGGATCGGCGTGGTCGAGGTGCAAAAACCCATGGTTTTTTGCGATTTCTAAAGTTCCCGCGCGACCCTCTGCGGGGATCGGCGTGGTCGAGGTGCAAAAACCCATGGTTTTTTGCGATTTCTGCCTGCTCGCGCGACCCTCTGCGGGGATCGGCGTGGTCGAGGTGCAAAAACCCATGGTTTTTTGCGATTTCTGCGGTGCTCGCGCGACCCTCTGCGGGGATCGGCGTGGTCGAGGTGCAAAAACCCATGGTTTTTTGCGATTTCTATCCTGCTCGCGCGACCCTCTGCGGGGATCGGCGTGGTCGAGGTGCAAAAACCCATGGTTTTTTGCGATTTCTAACCTGCTCGCGCGACCCTCTGCGGGGATCGGCGTGGTCGAGGTGCAAAAACCATGGTTTTTTGCGATTTCTGCGGTGCCGCGCAACCCTCTGCGGGGATCGGCGTGGTCGAGGTGCAAAAACTCGAGGTTTTTTGCGACTTTTGTTGTTCGAACTGGTCCTCGGGAGCCTGCCGGCCGGCGGTCGCGGGTTCGATTCCTCCCTGGTCCGCGGGCGGGCGTCGCAAGCAACTTGCGCAGACCAACTGCCGCAGAGCGCCTTGCCAGCAAGAGCAACTTGCACAGAGCAACTTGCACAGCTTGCACCCTTACTTGCGCAACTTGCACAGAGCAACTTGCACAAGCAGCTTGCACAGAGCAACTTGCAGGGAGCGCAATTTGCACAGAGCAACTTGCAGGGAGCCACTTGCAGGGACCAACTTGCCGGAGCAACTTGCGCGGAGCAACTTGCGCAGAGCAACTTGCACAGTGCAACTTGCGTAGAGCAACTTGCGCAGACCAACTTGCACCGACCAGTTTGCGCAGAGCACCTTGCCTGGTGCTGTCTCGCGCCAACTTGCACATATTGCAACTCGCACAGAGCAACGTGCAGGGAGCCACTTGCAGGGACCAACTTGCCGGAGCAACTTTGCGCAGAGCAACTTGCACAGTGCAACTTGCGTAGAGCAACTTGCGCAGACCAACTTGCACCGACCAGTTTGCGCAGAGCACCTTGCCTGGTGCTGTCTCGCGCCAACTTGCACACACTGCAACTCGCACAGAGCAACTTGCGCAAAGCAACTTGCGCAGAGCAACTTGCGCATGTGCCAGGCCGGGGTTAAACAAGTTTGCCGCACATCGTGGGGAGTTATGCTTTCAGGCCACTCACCCTGTAGGAGTTTGACGCAAGGAGTTCTCATCATGAAAGAAGTTGCGGGGAGCATGGCGCACACGGCTTATTCACGGGCATGGCGCACACGGCTGGTTGTTATGTGGCATCTTGCGGATGATCATCGAGATTTGGCTCAAACAGAAGTCATGGAGCTCGAAGTAGCTAGGCTTCAGGCTGGCGCGGCCCAGCATGGCAAAGCGTGGCTGCAGCAAGAGGTGGCGGCCAAAGCCCAACCCCAACTTCGCGCACTCGCCCGACAGCTGGATGTGCGCCAATGGGTCGCAGGCAGCAACGTGACCAAGGCAGACCTAGCTGCCGCTGTCGTGGAGAAGCTGTGCCCACAGGCCAGGATCGAAATCTGGAGAGTTTTGCTGGTGTTTGTTTTGCTGTACTGATTGTAGTTCTGCGGCTTCGCCGACGCCGGTGTCTCGACTTGGTCGTAGTCGGTGTTTGACGCTATTGTTTTTGATGTTGTTTTGCGGATGGCCGAAATGTAAGCACCAGATGGCACCATGTCGTGTTTCTTACGGACGGTTGCCTCATCTCATGGACATGGCAGGATGAGGCAGAGCTTGTCGTGGCCACGCTTCGTGCTGGTTTGTCGGAGAAGGGCAAGGCGTGGCTCCAGCAAGAGGTGGCGGCCAAAGCCCAACTTCAACTTCGCGCGCTCGCCCGACGGCTGGATGTGCGCCAACGGGTCGCAGGCGGCAAAGTGACCCAGGCAGACCTAGCTGCCGCTGTCGTGGAGCAGCTGTGCCCACAGGCCAGGATCGAAATCTGGAAAGTTTTGCTGGTGTTTGTTTTGCTGTGCTGATTGTTGCCAGGAGCCAAGCAGTTCTGCGGCTTCGCCGACGCCGGTGTCTCGACCTGGTCGTAGTCGGTGTTTGACGCTATTGTTTTTGATGATGTTTTGCGGATGGCCGAAATGTAAGCACCAGATGGCACCATGTCGTGTTTCTTACGGACGGTTGCCTCATCTCATGGACATGGCAGGATGAGGCAGAGCTTGTCGTGGCCACGCTTCGTGCTGGTTTGTCGGAGAAGGGCAAGGCGTGGCTCCAGCAAGAGGTGGCGGCCAAAGCCCAACCCCAACTTCGCGCACTCGCCCGACGGCTGGATGTGCGCCGATGGGTCGCAGGCAGCAGCGTGACCCAGGCAGACCTAGCTGCCGCTGTCGTGGAGAAGCTGCGCCCACAGGCCAGGATCGAAATCTGGAGAGTTTTGCTGGTGTTTGTTTTGCTGTGCTGATTGCTGCCAGGAGCCAAGCAGTTCTGCGGCTTCGCCGACGCCGGTGTCTCGACCTGGTCGTAGTCGGTGTTTGACGCTTTTGTTTTTGATGATGTTTTGGCGGATGGCCGAAATGTAAGCACCAGATGGCACCATGTCGTGTTTCTTACGGACGGTTGCCTCATCTCATGGACATGGCAGGATGAGGCAGAGCTTGTCGCGGCCACGCTTCGTGCTGGTTTGGCGGAGAAGGGCAAGGCGTGGCTCCAGCAAGAGGTGGCGGCCAAAGCCCAACCCCAACTTTGCGCGCTCGCTCGACAGCTGGATGTGCGCCAACGGGTCGCAGGCGGCAAAGTGACCAAGGCAGACCTAGCTGCCGCTGTCGTGGAGCAGCTGTGTGGCCAGGTCGGCTCCAAAGCTGCGCAGTCTTGTGTTTTTTCTGTTTTCCCGAAAGCATGGCGAAGGGTTCTTCCGCTGGGTTCACTTGAGTTGTTCTCATGAGAGTCATTACAAGGTGTCATTGCAAGGAATCATCATCATGAAAGTCATTGCAAGGAGTCATTGCAAGGAGTCATTGCAAGGAGTCATTGCAAGGAGTCATTGCAAGGAGTCATTGCAAGGAGTCATTGCAAGGAGTCATTGCAAGGAGTCATTGCAAGGAGTCATCATTGCAAGGAGTCATGGCAAGGAGTCATGCAAGGAGTCATTGCAAGGAGTCATTGCAAGGAGTCATTGCAAGGAGTCATTGCAAGGAGTCATGGGAGTCATTGCAAGGAGTCATTGCAAGGAGTCATTGCAAGGAGTCATTGCAAGGAGTCATTGCAAGGAGTCATTGCAAGGAGTCATGGCAAGGATTGCAACTTGCACTTGACTCCTTGCACTTGCAACTTGCACTTGACTCCTTGCACTTGCAACTTGACTCCATGCACTTGCAACTTGCACTTGACTCCATGCACTTGGCTCCTTGCACTTGGCTCCTTGCACTTGGCTCCTTGCACTTGGCTCCTTGCACTTGCAACTTGCACTTAACTCCGTGCACTTGCGACTTGCACTTGACTCCATGCACTTGGCTCCTTGCAACTTGCAATGGCTCTCATGACTCCTTGCAATGACTCCTTGCAATGACTCCTTGCAATGACTCCTTGCAATGACTCCTTGCAATGACTCCTTGCCATGACTCCTTGCAATGACTCCTTGCAATGACTCCTTGCAATGACTCCTTGAAACAAGCAAGGAGTCAAGTGCAAGTTGCAAGTGCAAGGAGTCAAGTGCAATTGACTTGCGAGGAGTTAAAATCTCTTCTTAGGGCGGCGGGGTAGTGCCGACGACACTACACGAAAATCGACCCTCTGCGGGGATCGGCGTGGTCGAGGTGCAAAAACCCATGGTTTTTTGCGATTTCTGCGGTGCTCGCGCGACCCTCTGCGGGGATCGGCGTGGTCGAGGTGCAAAAACCCATGGTTTTTTGCGATTTCTAACCTGCTCGCGCGACCCTCTGCGGGGATCGGCGTGGTCGAGGTGCAAAAACCCATGGTTTTTTTGCGATTTCTACCTGCTCGCGCGAATCGTGGTCGGGTGATCGGCGCTCGCGCGTCGAGGTGCAAAAACCCATGGTTTTTGCGATTTCTGCGGTGCTCGCGCAACCCTCTGCGGGAATCGGCGTGGTCGAGGTGCAAAAACTCAAGGTTTTTTGCGGCTTTTGTTGTTCGAACTGGTCCTCGGGAGTTGTCTCGTGGTTCGCGCGCCTGCTCCCGGAACCGGCGGGTCGCGGGTTCGATTCCTCCCTGGTCCGCGGGCGGGCGTCGCAAGATGCAACTTGCATTTTACAGCAACTTGCGCAGAGCAACTTGCGCAGAGCAAGTTGCACAGAGCAACTTGCGCAGACCAACTTGCACCGACCAGTTTGCGCAGAGCGCCTTGCCTAGAGCAACTTGCGCAGAGCAACTTACGCAGAGCAACTTGCACAGAGCAACTTGCACAGAGCAGCTTGCACAGAGCAACTTGCAGGGAGCGCAATTTGCACAGAGCAACTTGCAGGGAGCCACTTGCAGGGACCAACTTGCCGGAGCAACTTGCGCGGAGCAACTTGCGCAGAGCAACTTGCACAGTGCAACTTGCGTAGAGCAACTTGCGCAGACCAACTTGCACCGACCAGTTTGCGCAGAGCACCTTGCCTGGTGCTGTCTCGCGCTTGCTTCACGAAGTGTAGGGAAAAAGAACGCATCCTGCAGCGTTGGGCCGACCTCGCTTGCGATGTTCTGCTTTCGGGCCAACCGTGGTCTAGTTCTTCTAAGGAGTTTTAGCATCCAAATTGGGTCCCTGTTAATGGGAGTTGAACCCTAGGCTTGAGGTGATTGGGGCACTTAAGTAAGTTCTTGGTAAAGGAGGCGGGTAGCACCATGTCTGCAGGAGACGACTGGCTATTCACCCTCACTATCATTCCATGTTGGTGAGAGGGCAGCAAGTGGTTTGTGACGATAGTAAAAGCTGATTCATGATTTTTCAAAGTCCTCTCGGTGCATCTTCGGCAGGCGTATAGGCCTCTTTAATATGCTGGTCTTTATCCACTGGGGTAAAAGTCTACCTGAGAGACAACCAAAAACAAGGCATGACTCCAGGCAGAATTCATCAGACTGGACTCTGGCCGGCCAAGGCTAGACCTATTGGGTAACAACTGGGTGCGCATTTTTTTTCTGGGGGCGCTCCCCGAAACGTGTGGTTTTCTCTCCAGCTCGGGCCAGCCGTGAGCGGGGGGCCAGTTGCGGGAGCTGCTGGCGCAGCTGGAGCCCTGCTCTTTGGACCACCTCCTGGCCGCCCAGAAGGCCGCGCAGCGCGGCGCCTGCGGCGCCGGCGCCGCCGCCGAGGCGGCGGCCTGGCTGGGGCGCCAGGCCGTGCTGCAGGCGCTGAACGAAACCCCATGGGTCATTTTGGGGTGGTTTCTACCTGGCAGCTGGTGGAATGAGAGTCATCCTTTGTGATTGTTGGTGGTTTCTGCCTGGCTAGCAATGGGAGAGTCATTGTATGAATCTGTACAAACATGTGAGCCAAAAGTCAATGGGATTCGGGCGCTGCTCAGTTGGTAGCTGGTTTATCCCAGTTTTCAAAGGGTTCATCCACAATACATGTTTCCTTTATCCGTCAAATGATGGACCCATAGTTCACGCTTGTCCCATGTAACTAGAGGAAACCATGATGTCGATAGCCTATAGATGAAATAATAGTCGTCATGCTGATTCACAGCCGACTCGGGCTGGCCTTCCCATGGGAATGAGCAAATCAGGGGGGAGAGGGTCTTGTTTTGGGAGAGCATGGGGAGGGGGGGTTGAATCCTATGATGTTGGAGAAGCCAGCTACAGACTCCAAGTATACCTTTCAACCTCCTATCTGAAACTTGCGGGTTGAGTTCCGTGTTGTGTTTTAGTGCCATTCCTGAAAACATGGAGACCACATGATGTTCATCCAGTTTCACCATGGCTTGGATGCACTGGAGGCGTTGGACATTTGTGCCGTTCCCGTGATGCGAGTCGTTTGCTGAGTCGAGCTTCGCCTCGCGCTCGAGGCGAGAGCTGCTGGGTGTGATGTGCCTGGCCCGCGATTTGCATGTCTGTGGACGTGAAGGTGAGGGGTCCAGAGGGAAGCCACCGGAACAGAGGATCGATTTGAGATAGGGCCGTCCTCAAAATGATCTCCTTAGAAGTGAAGATGGAACCGAGTTAACACTTGGGTGTTGCTCATGCGGGTGGTTTGATTTCCTGTGGTTCCATAGCGGTGAAATACCCAAGCCGCGAGCTTGATTCATGGTGAGTTCTCCCCAACACTTTTGGGTCCTGAAATTCCCGAAGTGACCAACAATCAATTGACGGTTTGGAACCCGGGGATAGACAGAACTGCTGCCTAACCTCCGAACCACAAGTTCAAATCGCCACGGAAGTGAAGGCTGAGAAAGACCCCTATGAGCGTTCTTGACATTTTGTGCCGCCTTTTAAGTCGGTCTTTTGGACCGTAAACCGGGTGGCTCGTCTTTTGTTGCGTTGGTACCCCTACCCTTTAAAGGGAAACCGAAAAGAACACCGAAACCATTTCGGAGAGACCCATAAGATCCGAATCCAAGGTCTCCGCACCTTCCGCGCTGAGTGCTGCCCAGCAAGACGCGGCCATGGCCGCCTTCCAGCGCCAGACAGAGGCCCAGGCGGGAAGAGTGGCAGCTGCGGGACTTCCCAAATGGCCATGGGTCAAAATCCAAATCGTACCCCCAGTGAACATCCCACGGCCAAATAGGAATCAGGACCGTAGAAAAGGGCTGGTTTTCTTTTGTTAACACCTTGCAAAGGGGGTCCAACTACCTTTTTAAGAAACCCCACAGATGACATGGGCCCGAAAAAGGGCAAACAATTGGTTCGTGGTCGTGTCATTCTGCATGAATACCTTTGTCCCTGTCCGATCTCAAAACAAGCTTCGGTCATTTTTAGGCCAAGTAGACTTTGGTGCTAGGACTTGCAAGTCGACATACAAGTGGACGAGTGGCGGGCGAACATGTGGACAAGTAGATGGACAAGTGTGTCGGTCGTATCCACCCACATCACTACTCGTACGTCACTCATACGCCCCTCGTCCACTCGCACGTCCCGCCTGCGCCACTCGTCTGCTGGTACGTCCACTCGTCCACTCGCGCGTCCATGAATACTCGTCGTCCACAAGTACGTCCTCCGGTACGCCCACTTGTACTCCCAATCGCACGTTCAATCGTACACTTTTTGTCAACGGTCTCATTTGACCACATGACTTTTGCCAAGAGATCCCCCTTTGAAAAAAAGGCTGGTGTTGGTTTCCTTGTAAATCTGGAGGAGTGTAACATGGCCTGATGTCCAGTGGGTCGCTTCCGTTTTGTGAAAGGGAGGGGGTTCCTTTTCAAATCGGGTAATTGTCCAAGCAAAGAAGTCAAAACTGCGAGTGTTCCATTTGTTTGGTTGGTCTTTTGAAGCTGGATGTTCCATTGAACCTGCCAAATGGTGAGCCTTTAGCGGACCCGAATTTCTCTTGGAAACTTGTCTTAATGTTGAAGAAGGTTGCAAAAGGATCATATTGGGACGTCCAACAGGGAAAGCAAGAGCGCCATTCCAGTCAAGCTCGATTTACATCCACCAGCTGCCATACCTTCAGTGTCGCCGGGCACAAGCCGTGTGTCTCCCATGCCTGTCACACAACTGCTCCAACGGTGGATTCTTGATCGTTTTGCATACCAATTGTGTTTTTGTTCACCCGTTTGGGGGGGGGGGGTTGCAGGGAAAACAAAAGGATATTTGGCCATAAGGTGGGTGGGTACCCCCTATTTTGACAGCCCAAATGTTCCTTAGGTCCTGCCCGAAAGGGCTTCTGGTGGGGCGGAAAAACACCCCAAAGCCAGCCATCAGGTCAAGCGGGATTCCCCTTGCAGACACAGGCCCTGAAACCTGCTTTCCCACCGCCAAGCTAGGGCTTCAATCATAGGCCACGGCCTGCAGACGTCCGCGGTTTGAACATTAAGCACCCCATCGAATGGACACTCGCGTAAGAGAGCCAAAGATGATCAAAACCAGCAACATGGGAAATAGCCAGCACCCCCCGACAACTGCTTTTGGGACAATACCCGGGATTTTGGACATGGAAAAGGGTGCCCTGAGGTCACCCCAATTGACAAAGTTGTCATGGAGGACGGCCACTTTGGTATCAACGAAAGGCTTACCCTCCCACCAGTTAACATGGAACCTGACGTTTGGTGGTCCCTTTGACAGGAAAATTGTCCAAACCAGGACCTCCGTGTCAGGTTCAATGTTACCTGGGAGGGCATGCTGTGATTCGAATTCTGCCAACTGTTCGCCGGGTGTTCCTGAGAGCAAGACATTGATGTCAGCACGTTGGCAGCTCCTTCCAATGGCAGGTGTTTTTTTTTTTTCTCGTTTTTGTGTTTTGCAAGGTTATATGTTAGGATGTGTCAAAAGGGAAGCTGAAGAGAAACTGGATTTGTTTCTATTGGGACACCGAAGGGAACCAAGCGATTCTGGGAGTGAAGAGATTAAAACAACGCTTGAGTTCCCGTACTCGCGCGGACTTTCGACAGGGGCCTTTGGACTGGCAGAACATCCTGGGGCTGCTGAAGCAGCACGGCAGCTGGGCGAAGGAAGCCGTCGCCTGAGATTGCGATGGGCAAAACGGAGGGTGAGCTCGCCGGTCCGGCACAGCAAGCGAAAGTGAAGACGCTGATGGCTGGATTCTTTATGATTTTTTATTGCAGGCGCTGGATGCATTGCGAATGCAGACCCATGACTAGGGATTCCTCAGCAGCTACAGCAATTTGCCCAGGTGTGGCAATGAAGGTTAGTAGGGAAGCCCCGGTAAAAAGACATGGCTGCACATTACGTCCCTTCGATATGTTTGCCCTTGAAAATTAGTTGTGTCGAACCATGTCATCATCTGGTGTGAAGGGGATGGACACACCAAACTTCCAAATATTTTGCACTTTTTGGGGCAAGAGGCGACCAAAAAGGCAACGTTGCCTTTGCGGGTGAACGATTTGACCAAATTCCCATGCCCATGTGCCCCGCGCCCTGATCATGCGCTCAGGTCGAGGGTGGGGGCCTCAATGCGACAGGTGTTTGAACCGAATCGGGACCTCGATTGGGAGTTGGGGACACAGGACAAACAGGTTCTAGCAACCGGATTGCAGCAACAAAGCGTATAACATCCTAGAACTCATTTGGTAGAACCCACTTAGGGTCACCCAAATACTTCCCGTTTCAGCCTGTGTAAACATCACCTTTGGGTCGCGACTATCAGATGGGTTGCCGCTTGGTGGGGCCATGTTTAAGACGGAAATAGAGGGACCCCTGCTTTAGTGGCGTTGCTTTGTTGCCAGCGGGGAACCCCATCTTCCCGTGAGGGTTTGGGGCAACGATCGGAACCGAATCTCAATCTCAGTTGTTCAAAGTGTCCTGTGTGGACTATGTTGAGTCATGTCCCCAGATAAATATTAGTTTTTGTGTTTCTTGCCCTTGTGGAACAAGGCATGTTTTGCCACAAACATCTCGGAGCAAAATGTTGACCTTGAGTTTGTGACTCCCTGAGCGGTGCATGTCCCCTTTGTTTCAAGCTTCAGAAAGCAGGCGTTGTTGTCGTGTGTTTGCAATGGTGGTTGTTTGAGTTGCTGTGTTCACTTGCGAACATTTCCCGGTGTGCTTCTGTTTTGTGTCTTGGCTTTAGCCAAGGCGCTGCCAGATGTTTGTCGCCTTTCATACCCCCTTTGACGACCTCATTCGCCGCCTCCATGGTAATGCCCAAAACGGGTATGTACCTGCTAGAAATGGGTCTGCAACAGGCGAGCAAGCGGTACAAACAAGGATCACTTTACATCAATTTTCGGAGTAATCGCTTCGATGTTCATTGGGATTTGTTGGCGGGGGTATCTAAGAGGGGAAGCACATATTCCTTGATCGTTCGGGTGCAGACGCACGACTTGATAAACGAAACGCCAATCAGAGCTTTGAGAGTCTCCCGAACAAACTCCCCCCAGGAAGCGCGCAACCAATAGCAATCAACCAACCCAGCACGTCCAGTCAGTATAGCAGGTAACCGTAACAGTTGCAACCCTTAGTATCCAACGATCAAACCGGAAGGGCCGTGGCGCCGGATCTCAGGCGAGGCCTATCGCTGGGAGCTGCGTGACAAAGTTTGGCGCTTGCACCTCCCAGGCGGGGAGTCGGCCTTTTTCGCTGGTGTTGGGTGTTGGGTTTCAGGAATGAACCGGCATGCCGAATCCCAAGAGTCGGATGGTTCAGTTGGGTGTGGCTCAAAATTAAACAGGAGGGGTTACGCAGGTTTTGGTCCATGTTTCCACTTTCTAGGGTTCCATTTTGGCACCGGTTTTTTGAGCCACAGCCAGTTTGGGGGTTCCCTCCATTTGTTCCCTTGAGAGCTAGCAAACCTTGATTGTTGGGTCTCTAGTTCACCGATCCGATCGGCGCAGACGTGCGTCTGCGCCCGCGTTCCCTCCTTTGGGGGGCCTTTCAAATCAGCTGCCAGAACAGGGGCCCCATTTGTAGAAAAGGGCCACTGGGCGGTCGGGAATTAGAGATGGGTGCCACAACTCACTCGAGTTCATGGACTTGAGATCTTTTGGGGAAGACCGTTCTAGTGGTAAACAAAAAACCTGGATCTTTCCTGGCCAGTCAATCCACTCAGGTAGTGATAGATAAGCACTCAATTTCTTTGACTTTCCGCAAAGGAAGCCAAAAGGTACCAGCACCCCTTCCCCCCCCCCCCCCCAAACAGCTGTTTTTGTTCCCATGTTCAAAGTCCCGTTTGTACTGTCCAACAAGCAGCTCTAGGGGGCGCTGGGATGATTTGTGTTTTTCTTTCCAGACCTGGACCAGGGCGTGAAGGCCCATTGTTAGGAGGGTGGCCTTCCGTCTGAATCATCCCCAACCACGGCAAACAATCTGGGCTGCCAATCGGCAAGATCCTTACCTTGGGTTACGAAAGGGTGTTCCCTTTGAGGTGGTTTTCCAATTGGATATGGGTGCGGGTCAAAATAAAACCACTAGGGGACCGCAGGTTTTAGTCCATGTTTCCATTTACCAAGGTTCCATTTTGGGTACCCATTTTTGACCCACAGCCATATAGGGAGTGTGGGATTGGACAACACTCGCCCAGAATACGGACACAACCTCAAAAAGCCCAAGCAGCATGCCAGCCGCAGACGCTCAAGTATGGTTCTCAGTTGTTCAGCGGCAGCCTCTATAGATCCCTTTGCGTTTGGTGGGTAAAGATGCTCAACCCAGAAAAGAAGCCAGTCCAAACATTTAGAACTGATCAACTGGGAATGATTTGTTTGCCATCATTGGATAACTGGGAAAGACATATTGGTGTGAATTGTAATTGGGGACCCTTTGGTGAACGTCATTTACATGGAGGATTTCTGTCTACCAGCCACTTTTGAGGGGGTTCCCTATCTAAATTCATTGCCATATTTTCTTCCGTGGGGCTGGTATGGTTTTTGCACCAGGAAGCTCGGATGAACTCGAAGCCGAGGCTTCGACGCGGGCGCGCAGCTGGACATCTCCGGGTCATTGGTGCGGCTGCAAAGCGACGGCTGGAAGCCCCGGGAGTCTCCTGACGGACTCGCTTTGAATTCGGGTGGTTTCAAAGCTGAAGGAAACCAGACAAAAACCACTCATTCTGAGGGAGTGGGATGCCCCGTGGGCACTGGTTTTACGGGTGTTTAAGCTGGTGTTTTGGCGTTTGAACCGCAATGTGAATCCACCGTGCTGCATTTGTACTTCATTTGACCTGCGCAAGCAAGGTCTTCAGAAGTGTCAGAGCTTGTCCATACTGAAGTAGTTAGCTTCAAGACACACACACACACACACGCGCATACTACCTTCTCAGTAAGGAACAAGGAGTTTCGGGACTGAACCTTGCGATTTTCGTAAGCGAAATCACCAGTTGGATGGGTCGCAAGGGCATTCCAATTCATTTGCCTAGCGAAGCAAGCTTACACCAAGGCGAAAAGTAGATGTTGCAGAATGAATGTTCTTTTGTGGGCAATTAAAGGGGATGAGATGTGGCATCTTTCACCCGACGGTGCCCCCCATTTTCTGTTGGGCGTTTTGGTTTCAGGCCGGCTGGTGGAGGTCAACGTGCCGGAGGAGCCGAGAAATTTCTTGGTGAGGAAGACTCTAAGGCATGAGGGCGGTGAACTGGAGAAAACAAGGGGCTAACAAGTCTTTGTTGCATTTTGCCAAGGGATGTTAGGACTTTAACGTTTTGCCAACTAATGGGTTTTCCGTGAAACCACTAAAAGTTAAACTTTTAGCAGGGGAGCAGACAGCAACCGAGAAGTTGAATGGGATTGTGGGCTATGTTAAAACCAAAGTCAGAAGCAAACCATTCCATGTAGCCCCCTTTAATTAATGCGGCAAGGACCTGACATGCGCCGGCCGCTTGGCGCATACCTGCAATACCCCGCAATAGGCCAAGGCCAAGTTGTTCCTTGAGGATGCTTCGGGGCTAGCGAAAAGAGATACCCCGAGCATTGCATTTGCAGGCTGGGAATGGTCAACTGGTCCGAGACCTGGTTTGTTCTTGCCTAACCTTGGGCCTGGTGCTGTTGGCTACATGTTTTCAGCGATCTGTTGCAAACCTGTTTGTGGTAAGGGGGGTCCCAGCCAAAAGACATATGATTGTCCGCTGACCGGCAAACAGAAATAGTTGTGGTTGCTCCCCAAATCAGAAAACTCGATAGGGAGTTCCTTTTGACTAAACAAAGCCTTGGATGTATCGTGATTCTACTGAATCAGAGGCTGCCTTGAGGCAGTCAAAGTCACACTCACGCTTCCGAGTCGTGCGCACGGCAGAGCAGTGCGGCACGTCCTGATCCGGGCGCGGCCTTGTGCCGCTGTCGAAGTGTGACCTACTTAAAAGGTCTGGCTAGGTCGTTGGCCGTTCGGATTGGCCTGCCAGCGCAAAAAGTGCGTAGAGCACGATCCACGTTGTGCAAAGTACAACGTGGCAGCTCAAGCGTGAGGCCACTCTGTGGTGGTCCAACTCCCAGGGATGAGAGGTTGAGGCTTCGAACCTCTCCAATGCTCAAAATTGAAAAAGGAAGCACAAGCCAAGCGAACCACATGGATGTCCGCACCAAGATTGCACTGAGCATGGGAGAGGCTAGGCTGATCTCGCCAGATCGCACCGTCTTTGTGGGGTGCCGGGCTGGGAAAAGCTACGCATGCGAGCCTGAGCGCAATCGCGCATTCAAGCCAAGAAATGAACACTGGTCCTTCGGAGGTCTGGGCTTGCTGATGCAGCCATTGGACGACCTGAAGGGGAAACCTAGTGCCGAATTTGAATTCTACTGCTGATCCTGCAAGGTCCGTCGCCCATTCTGGGCTAAGCGAAGCAAGCCATCTAATCTGCCCTTCACTGTGTGCATAGGGCAGCGGCTCCTCGTCATCGGGGAGGTCGTCTGGGGTTCGCTGGTGATGCTTGGCTTTTTCTCTCCCATCGTTGGATTCGGCAATGGCCAGATGAAGGCCCTGCAGAAGGCGGAGTCGGTGTAGCTGATCACGTTCAGCCTGCTCGTAGTTGCTCCAAAGTATTGCAAAGTCAGGGTTACGCCTTTGATTTGCATGCTTATAGCGGCTGCATCTGCGGAGTTGTTCCATCGAGCTGCCCATTCATCGGCTGGTTTTCACACTCATCCGGATGACCATGACCTGGTAGATGCAGTACTCGAAATTGACCAGGTGCAAGTCCAGAGAGATGCTGATGAAGTTCTTGCCATAGGTCACCGTTGCTGCGATCCGGAATGTCAGAGTCGTCTGCTTGGATTCGCCATGTACCTGCTGCAGCGTACGCCGAGTCGGTCCACAGGGTGGTGTTGCACGCACTGAGGGTGGTCCATTTTGCAGCGCAGATAATAGCGGTGAGCTCGGCCCGGTTGATGCGCTGAACTGGGCCTGCGATCTCGCCTGATGAGATGCAGCAAACATGCGTTGCCGATACCAACGCCCAGGAAGCAAGTGCGAGTGGCCGGTATGTGGGTGACGTACATGAGCCATCCGAGAAGAGGTGGAAATCTTCATCGGCTTGGGCAATGAGTTGAAAGCGGAATTGTTCATTCTTGAGGTTGTAGAAGTACTCCCGAACTTGTCCAAGAATGGGGTTTCGAGGGAGTAGTAGCCGCTCTCGTACACATACAGGAGAATCGTGCCATAGGCGTCGAGCTTGTTCATGCTGGGCATGACACTCAGCAAAGGCTGGGCAGTCGAGGCATCTGTGCTCGGCTGTGTCGTTGGCTGGGCAATGGTTGCATTGGCTGGTTGACAGGTTGTCAAACTTGGCCTTCTGGGTGTTGAGGTAGAAAGCTCCTTCCCGAAGTGTGTTGACTCTGGCGTTTTCAAGCGCTGTGAGGTGTGAGCTGCATTGCTTGACTGCAGCCCAATTGATGCCTTCAAGGCCTTGAAAGTCTGCTCGGGTTGAGACCTCGCGCGCGGTCTTCTGGAGCCAGGCATCTTCAAGTAGATCATGAAGCATGCCATTGTCAATGATCAGCAGGTTGTGAAGGTGCCCTTCATGATCAACCAGAAAGGGAGGTGCCTCAATAGTCCACAGGACAAGGTTGAGCTGGCGCATCAGGACAGAGAAGGGTCCGGCAAATGTGCGACCATCGTAGGAAGCAATGAATTGTGTCCACAAATCAATGAGGGAGGTCTGCTTGACAAGAACCCGCTTGAATGTGCGCACCACATGCCAGAGCTGAAAGAAGCATGGGTCGCTAAGGGCATTCCCGGTCAGGAGGCTGAGTCGAATTGTCGGGTTGGCTCCAGCTCTTCCGCACCCAACTGCGGCCGTCCTGAGCTGCTTGATGGAGGCCGTGCTGAGGTCCTCGATGGGAGCACTATGGAAGATCTTCGGCCAAATTGCCTGGAAGAGGATGAAGTACTTGTTGAAGGAAGGAAGATTGATCTTCTTAAGCAGGACCCAGGTGGGATGAAGCCCTGCAAGTAGATCAGGGTGATGAGCCGTCTTCCGGCGGGCTCCATAGGTCATTTGGCCTCCGAGGTCCTTGTCCTTCTGACTGATGCGACGACCCAGAAGTGCAAGCTGCTTGCGGTGTTGTGGCTGAACTGCCCAGAGGTAGGTTTTGTCAGCGTCGATGCTGAGCTGAAACATTTCCAGGAAGGTGGGTGTCCTGGGAAACCACTGCCAAGGAGAGCCCCGGGCTGGTTGGAGACAATTTCCAAGTTGTCGACAAAGGAGATCGATGTTGCCCTCGGGGAGAAGTGTGATTGGTACAGGTGATAGCACCAGTCGACTAGCACCATTGCCAGGCAGCTTAAAGGGCATCCCTCTGGGTAACCGCAGTTTGAGAAGAGCGGTGTGCCGATGGTGTCGTGGACAACGAACCTCCGGGAGAAGCCCGTCAGGAAACGGTGCCATGCCTCGACGAAGTCGGACGGGAAGCCAACGTGTTTGGCAACCTGCTTGATTGGAAGCCGTGGCAAGTGATTGAAGGCCTTCTCGACGCAACCAACCAGGGGCTGGTCCTGTTGGGCTCGCAGCTCGATAAGAGCCTGAAGAGGCAACCAAATTTCCTGAGCTTCACGTGATGGCAGAAAGCCAAAAGCCGGACAGTCCATGAGTTGGGACAGCTTGGAGAGTCCTTGCCGTGCCCGAAGCAAGGCCCAATTCCTGTAGATCATGCTCAGGACAATGATTGGGCGGTACTGTGAGACTTCTTCAGCCTCCGGACACTTGGCGATGCCGTGGGCGAAGCCAGTGAGCAATTGCTGCGGCCATTGTGCCCCATGTTCGATGTTGGTGAGCAAATTGACGTGGGCCTGTCGTAGGGGTGCTGGCATGTTGGTGAGGTCAGTGAGCCCGTAGCCATCGGATCCACGCGCGGTGTGCTTGCGGAAGCGTTGCAGAGATTGGTCCCACTGTTGTAGTTGTAGGGGAGGTAGTGCAATGGCTCCTCGTGGAACGAACGCCTTGATGAAGCCGTAGATACGATCCCAGGCTTCAGGCGGTAGGTTCTTGTGTTTGCTCCAGCGCTCTGACCAGTAGTGACCAAGAGTTGCTTGAATCTTGGCGTCCTCAGTGATGTGGATGTGTTGGTGGAGTTGTTGACCAACTACAAGGAGGAGGTCAGTGTCGATCTGGTAGGTGTCCGAGGTAAGCTGGGTGACATTGGCCGGTGTGTTGTCAACCCACCAGGAGGTGTGGTCTGCTTTCTTGAATGGCTGGTCGGTAAGAATCTGGGTTCCATCAGACCGCAATGATGGTAGCTGTTGTTTTTTGGACCAGGCGGTCGATGGGGTCTCGCCTAGCAGGTTTGATGGCCTTGAAGATGCGGGCGTGGTGCTCCTGCATGCGAGTCTTGTTGCACTTGATTCGCTGGCGAAGCTTCCAGCTTTCAAAGCTTCGGAAATTGTACTGGTAGTCGTGGAAGATGCGTTCGAGGATGTCCGGGTCAGGCGTGGTGTCCGGGATGAGTCCGGGGCTGCCCTGCATATGGTGTTTGCGAGATTGCCACCATTCAGGGAACGTGGGTTGGAATCCCCGTGCGTGTAGAATTGCACGCCAGACCTCAGCTCTGTAGAGCTGGTGCGTAGCTTCTTGGCCGCCGGCCCTCAATGAGTGCAATAGGCTCTGTAGCCTGCGAAGTTGGCGGAACCAAAGCAGCACAGCACGACTGACAAGGTCCGAGCAGAGTTGAACCTCGCTTTCACGACTGGGTCGGAGAAGTGGTGGTTGTGGTAGTCTACGTTGAGGTGGAAGTCGTGTTCCACGTCCCCAGCAGGCAGTGGGAAGGGCAGTGTGCGAGGTGTGATGGAGGTGTTGATCAAGGCTGGTCTCATAGAGCACGCCAAGTTGAGAGTAGTGTTGTGTGGTGTCAGTCGTTGGTGGAAGGGGAATGTGGCCGGGAACAAAGTGAGAGTGCCAGGCATCAATCTGCACGTCTTCCCAAGGGATCTGTGACGGTTGTGTCCAGGCCCAGTAGGAGACATCACGGTCAGGTAGTGTGAAGGTAGCCGATAGCGCTCCATGATCGGAGAACCATGTGGTGAAGGTGGCTCTGGTGAAGTAGGCCGCAAGCTCAGGAGAGATGTAGATGCGGTCCGGGCTAGAGATGCCTCTGTATGTGTTCTGCGGGGCGTGTCCGGAGAGCCGGGCGTGAAGGACTTGTATCTCCTCCCAGCCGGCTTGTCGCCACGCTTGAAGTGAAGGAAGGCTCTCCGGGTGGTTGAAGTCTCCTGCGACATATCGCAGTCCATGGCTGCCAAGTATGAATTCCTCCGTGATGGCCTGCAACATGCCCTCGGTGAGGGTACGGGCATTTGGCCAACTTGGACTTGTTGGCCATGCGTACAGGTTGATGCTGGAGATCTGGATGTTGTCAATCCAGAACCGTGTGTGCTGAAGACGTCCCAGCTGGTAGTAGCTGTCGAGGTTGGGAGTGCGGATCGGTTGGAGTGGAGCATCTGCAAGCTGCATCACTCCTGTCCAAGTTCCAGTGGTGTGGGAGCCTGTCCTGAGAGGCGCAGGAGCTCCATACGTGGTGCGTAGACGCCGATTGTCGTTCTGGGCGTGGAATTTGAGTTGTCGGTCAAAGGGCCGGATGGCGCCGGCAGCCAGATGGGTCTCGCTGACATTCCAAATGCCTGGTGCGAGTGTGGAAATGTACAAGGCCTTGCCGTTGAGGCCGGTGGGGTTGGTGGTGCCGATGGTGAGAGTTGGGCCAGGATTCTCAGCCTCACCATGTCGTCGAACCTTGATTGCAGGTGGTGCAGAATTGGGCGGCACGCGCCGCCATGGCTTGCCCGACCCGGTTTCGCGGTTGTCCGCGCTGTGCAGGTAGAGCTGGGCAAGGCAAGGCATGGACGGGCAGTGCCCAAAATTATGGATGGAGCATCCATGACAAAAATGGCAAAAAGCCGGCTCAAGAGGGACTCGGCCAGTGAGTCTAGTCGGAGGTAGGACCGCCGTTGCGGTGTTTCTGATGGGACACCCGTCTTGGGAAGCGGGGTCTTCGAAGTTGACCTCCGAGACGGTAGGCGCAGGGGGTGCCTAGCCGGGTTGACGAAGAGAGCATTGGTCGTAGGGTGGTCCTGCCCAAGAAGAAGTGGTCAGCATCCCACATGCTGAAGACAAGTGCTTGGTGGGTAGGAGGCCCTATGAAGTCGCAGAAGTCTGTGCACTTCCACGAGGTGGTCGAAGTTGGCAGTGTCCCGGGGGCATCACTACCATGAACAGCAGAGATGAGGGCAGCCCAGATGAGCCACCTGGGGATGAAGGTAGAGAGGTTCCAGCCTAGGTTGATTCGCTTTGGCGCTCGAGTGACTGGGGACTCGAGCCCGGGGCGACCTAGTCAATCTGTGCGGTGCTTCTTACTGAGCAAGGCCTCAATGTTGCTGAAGCCTGCCGACATCTCTCTGCGGATCTCAGCGTTGTGGTCGCTGACAGACTTGTTGAGGTTGCTCAATTCGGCCTGCTGAGTGTGGACCTCCTTGGCAATTGCATTGATCTGATGGTTTGTGGCCGCGTTGGCCTCTGCTGCTTCACCAAACCACTGCTCAAACTTGTAGTTTTGCTGTCGAAGTTCAGCAACGCTGGACTCGAGGTGCTGAAATCTGGATTCGAATTTATGGGTATCGTCAACCATGGTCTGGTCCTCGTCCCAAGAGTTCGGGGGTTGCCATTGGTCAAGCTGCTTTTGGAGCGAGGCAGTGACGTCGGCCTTGACTCGTTCTTCGGCTTGTTGAAGTCGATCTGCTGCTGGTTTGGAGCTGGTGGCTTGTCCTTCGGCAGGGTGTTGGTGGAACCATTGAGACCACGGATCTTGTCCTGCTTGCTTGAGCGAGCGTAGCTTGGTGACTAGCACGTCTCCGTGAGCTCCTTGGAGAATGTTGGAGGGTGGGGGAGTTTCAGCGCCAACCTCCCAACCGATGCCATGCTGGTCTCCTTTGCAGGGCTGCAGTGGCTTGGCCTTCCACTTCCAGGCTGCGAGGGATTTAGCAAGGCCCTGGCGCTGTGTGCCGTGTGGGAGTGGAAAGACCTTGTAGATGTCAACGACCTTGATCTGCAAATAGGGCTCATCCGGCCGAAGAGCTTGATGTGCTTGAGGAAGTCGATCCGTAGGAAGTCGCAGTCCAAAGCGGTCGTTGAGTCGAGCGATGGAAGTAGATCCTTCCGTGGTGCGGTGCTTGTGGAGTATGGAGGTAAGTGTGGCTCCTGGAAGCCAAACTACTCCAAACTGGTCATCCGGATAGCGTCCTGTGGAGTCCCTTGGGTCGATGAAGAGACCATCGGAGCCGGAGAGGTTGATGAGGTTGTTGAAGGCGATCTTGGGGATCCTGACCAGAGCAGTCCAGCAGTTGGCCTTTTCTCGGGGCACTCGAGCTCCTTGGGCGCTGACCCATTGTCTGCCCCAGATGTCGAGGATGACGTTGGTGATGTGATCCTCGTCGACAGGAGGGTGGAATTTCGGACAAGTGTCGCCACACCCAGCAGAACGGCACAGGGTCATGACCGGGAAGGAGAGCATGACCTGCTTCATGGGGCCGTCTCCAAAGGTTGACCATTGTCCAGGCCATTGGTCCTGGTAGACGGCAAGCTTGATCGTGCAGGTGTCGATCGGTGCGACGTCTGGGAGCTTGTTGCGGACAGGACGTGTGATGAGGACTTGGCCGAGCTGAATGAGGCTGCCATGGATCAGGATCGGTTCCTGAGTTGTGGTGTGCTTGGCCGGGTACATGCGGTCTTCAACTGGCAGCTGTCCTCGAAGGGCGTGTGGGATGCATGTTGTTGTGAGGATGGCAAGCGGGCCGGTGCTGAGTTGGACGCCCTCCTTTAGGTAGGGCGCTGCTTCCCCGACGGTGGCAAATGCGAGGCCGGTGCTGCCTTTGCCAAGGTTGTGAATGGGGAGGGAGTCGATTGGAATGCCATCCTCGCTTGTGAATGTGCCGGGTACGAGCTGAAGCTCAGTGGGTGCAACCTGACATTCGGGCTTGTTGGCCGATGAGTTGGTAGGTTTGCCCTTGTCTTTCTTCCGGTTGGACTGGCTGATGCCGTACTGGGTGGCAGCTTTTAGCTGGATTTTCTGCTGGAGTTCTTGAGATCTGAGCCATTGAAAGGGACTGCTTGGCTTAGAGCCGAGTGCTTTGAGAGCGCTCCATGCGTGTTTGGAGGCAAGTGCTTCAGCAATGTGGCTGGCTCCGAGCTTTTTGAGGGCGTGATTGCATCTTTCGTCGACACAGTCTGCCGCGCCTTTGTCGATAAGAATGGTCCTGAGCTGTTTGAGGATGTCATCCTCATTGTGAGGGCCTGTTGCTGTGTGCTGGTGTGTCAGGAGGTGGTCGTCAGTTGCAAGGTGGTTGTGCCAGGTGCTTATGTCGCTGGTGCTACAGGTAGGCCAGAGGTCAAGGATGACACCAAGATGTGCCAGGGCAATTGTGCCACAGGAGTAGTTGTCGTGCTGGTGGTAGTGTGTGTGGGAAAAGATGCTTTCGCATTGCTTGTTCCATTGGTCGGCAATGGACTTGGCCAGAAAGTGTCCTCCAGCATGCGCCCTGTGTGGTAGCCCATCGAAGATCGAGGCGATGAAGCCAGTTTCGGTAGGCTCCGTGACAAGGAGTGCCCAGTGACCGTCATAGGCAAAGATGATGGTGGTGAGTGTGTTGGGGTCGTACTCTGCGAGCGCAGTGAGTGCTTGGGGTGCAAGAGCAAGGCCCTTGTCGACATGGCCGTGGATAAGGATAGGTGCGGGACATTGGTACGGTTGCCCGCCAACTTCGCCGTGGATGCGGGCTATGCGGAGGAGCTCTTTGCTGATCTGTTGATCGCTGAGTCCGAGTTCAGTGGAGCCTCCGGCGATGAAGGGGCATTTGCAAACGATGGTAGAGTTGAGCCACAGTCGAAGGTGAAGGCGGAGAGGATCTCCCCTGAGGTCAATCGGGGGAGTGTCGACAGGGTGGATGTGTGCAAGGTGACAGGCCTGGAAGAGGAAGATTCCAGCTTGGAATGTGGCAGTCGTGGTAGTAGCTCCAACGTGGAAGGTGACCTCAATGTCTTGGGTGCTTGGTGAGGGGAAGGTCGTAGTAGGGGAACACAGCGTGTATGGTCCGTGGAGTCCTTGATCCTGTAGTACAGCATCTGTCGGGACTGGCCGATGTCCGTCCCAGAGCTGGAGTTGTTGAGGTAGCTCAGCAAGACAGGCTTCAGCCTGAAGGAGTTCACCTACGGTCTGATGCCCTTCTCGGAGGAGATAGACGTTGGTTCCATCGCTGTGCTGGATCCAGACATGACGGGTGGCATGGGAGTCGTTGGTGACCCAGTGGTGGTACCTCTGCCAGAGGAGATCCTGCTTGGCTTTCTTGGTGAGCTCAAGTGGTTGGCAAAGGGGTTCCCACCCGAAGTGGGTTTGTACGGCTCGCACAAGATGTCCAAGTAGGCTACTGGCTTGATGCCAGCTTGTGAGGCTCCTAATCCGAGGCCTCCCATTCCGGAGCAAACCTCCTTGATGTGCTGGAAGTTCTCGATGCCGAGGGGTTCGTGTGCAAACCATTTTGAGTGCTCCAGGGGCAGCACATATGCCGAGCCATCTGACGACTGGCTAGCCACAAAGTTGTACACAGTGATGAGCCGCCCGCTGGGGAAGGTGTTGGGCAACCAAACGGACCTGTTCTTTGTAGCTTCTTGCAAAGCTTCCAAGTTTCCGTGCTTCAAAAGAAAACAGCCGCTTACCGGGTAGGTGCTCCGACAAGAGCTATGGTTCTCTTGCTTGTAGCTTTACGAGGCTTAGAGTCTGCGCGGGTACCTGTCAAGGAAGCTCAGACGAGTCATAGGGGCCCAAAAGGGGGCTGTGGATGCGCGAAAAAAACCTTCACCGCTTTGAGACAATGGGAAACCCTTGTTCGTTGATAGTCATGGGGGACTGATCATTCCAGGGTCTCTTAGGGTGGTTCCCTTCTACAAACCTGAAGAAGCTCTCTTGCTCCGAGACACTCGCACGGCCTTTCTGTCCGGCAGGAGCTTCGGCCGGCGGATGTGTCTCGCGTGA